CTTCTGATTTTACATCGATTCGCGTATCAATTTTCTATCCTCGCGCTTCGTAATAGCATGTTTTCTGCCTGTTTTTGGTTTATTATAATAAGTACCAGTCTGAGCAAACCGTTTGATGGCAGATTGTACAGCGCAACGCGAACATTTCACCAACTTGGCTATTTCTTTTTGCGACTTCCCTTCTTCAAATAAAAGTTTAAAGTTGTATTTTTACTCGATTTTCAAAACTAATTTCACTCCTTTTCGGCATTTTTTTAAAGGATTAGATGTTAATGTAATTACTTAAACAGAAACGAAGGGTTGTTAACTCTTTAGATGGTAAAATGCTACTGACCAAATATTGACTGATAAGACCGCAAGAAAACACAAATCCTTTGTTTTCAGTTACCAGGTGTTTTATGACCTTATAAATAAAACGCTGACCTTTCCAGGTAATGGTTTATGATCCCGAAATATTATCCAAGAAACGAATTTATTTATTACTAGCTTTTGCCGCGGCTTCGTCCGCGTGGAATAGTGACTTCCGACAGATTTTTGGTTTTTCCCACATAGTTCCCGTTCTTGCGGGGTTTTCAGAATGGTCGAGTTCCCGTAGTATTTTCAGGATAAAACCTATGTTTTTTTTTTATTAATAATGAAGTACTCTTAACCAACAACATATTTATTTGTTTATTTTAATTAAGTTTAATATTATTATGTTGATACAACTTAAACAAATTATTTCGACAAAATTAGGTACCATAAAAACGGGTTTTGTGATTTAATCTTAAAAGATAGACATATACTGTCGCGGACTGTTTTTTAGATCATTAAAAGAGCTATTATTCTTTCATACATATTTTTTGTGTATCTTGAACCGTTTTCACGGAGCACGCAACGGAAGGCTTCAAAGATGAAATAATTTCTCCCGTTTTTTACACATTTACCACTATATCTTTGCTCCTATTGGTCATAGCGTGATGTTATATAGCCCACAACCTTCCTTGATAACTGGACTATCCAACACAAAAAGAATTATTCAATTCGAAGCAGTAGTTTCGGAGATTAGCGCTTTCAAACAAACAAACAAACTCTTCAGCTTTATAATATTAGTATAGATTAAGTAGATAACTTAAATATGCATTTTTAAGGGGGTGCCTAATACATTTGGCCAAGGCTGTATATATATTCGCATTTAATAATTGAATATTACTGAAGCTAAATTTATTATTTAAGTTCGTCTGGATTTAAACAATTTTAAAAAATATATGAAAGACGTTATATATAAATAGGTAACCATAAGTTTTGATCTAATTGATATGAAAATTACAATATTCAAATGTTTTCATAAAGTATTTGTTATATTATATGCTTGGACAGTTGATAAAATATGTTCATATCTTTTATAGTTGATGACTCATAAAAATAAAACAGGAAGACTTCATCATCGTCTTTAAGTATTTAAAATAAACATGTATTTTCATTCGCCAGTTTACAGTTGTATGTATAATTGTCCTATGTACCGTTTGTCTTTAAGTTTCACAGTAAAAAGTTATGAGTATAAAAACATAATCTCTGCATTAAAAGTTACTTAGACTAAAGTAAGGATCCTGCTTTATCTCTAACATAAATAACTGCATTTTTTATAATATCTGAAACAAATTTGATTACTCCTAGATATATGTATTTATTTCAACTAATATTCTTGGCTATTTCGAGTAGGTTAATTTGACTTTTTTTACCCAAAGGATATGATAGAAACTTGTACAAAATAAAGCCCATGACGTGTACTCTTATTTTCATCCTTCGCTATGTACTGATCAAGGGGTACTGGGTTATTTTGTCAATTTGTTAAGTAGTTGTAAAAAGCTAACTTATTTGAGTAAAAAGTGACTGTATAAACTTTTAAACATGCCATCAAAGGAACGAATTAACTCACTATTGATTCCTTTTCATAAATGATTAAAGTATTACTTCATTCGTTTATTCTTATCAAGTATACAACTCAGACGTGTGTGTAAGTCGGATAACGATTTCCTTATCTTTTGGTCCTAAAATATATAACAGGTGTGGCTTTTAAAATCAATGTAGTGTTAGTACTATCGTACACGTAAGCATTCGTTTATCTAAACATTTTTATTTTATTCATATATATAGTAATGGTTCCGAAACGTTCTTGTAATTATCATTCAGATATTGTAAATAATCAAAAAGAATTTTAAAATACAAAACATATACGATAGAGGTTGATTTCTATTAATTGTTATTGCTTATTTAATGGAATGTTAAACTGAGGTAGCAAATGAACAGTGAGAGCAAGGAACAAGGTTGAATTAAGGAAAAAGATAATAAGAATTCGTGAGATATTAATCTAAGTTGATATTTTTATGATTTTTATGTTATTAAATATAAAAAAGACTTGGTAAGGAATATACGATCTCAGTTTTTAAAAATATATATTTGCATCGCTTGCATTCCACGATAGCATCTTTTGAGACCGAGTAGCAAGTGTCTGAAACTTTCTTTTATTTATCTTGTCATCTTAATGTACAAAAGAGTTTTAAGTTGTTTGTTAAATCGTTTGTGATTGTGGTCATTATAATTGTTTCTCTTCACTATTCACACAATGGAACCTGTTCTTTCCTTAGGAGAATGACATATTGTAATACGGTTTATCTAAGATTAAAAACCTTTTGCGACCAATTTTAATGTTTATTTGGAAAATACAGTTTTTCTATATCATATTGATTTAAAAATAAACTGAACTTAGATCATTACACAAATTCCCGCGCTTGTGACACACATACACATATTTTATCTTTGATAATTTTGTCGTTGTCATAATAATACGCAGTATTTTATTTTTATTTTTCTTTGTCTAAATTAGATATCTGTTTTTTCTTAAATAGATATTTGAATCTATATCCTAAAATTAATTAAAAAAATAACAATACCCGAATTCTTTGCTTGCTTGCAAAATGATTATGATGCTACCACTAGCCACTACAATCATGTCTCTTTTATGATAGAATCATGTCTCTCTAAACTGTGATGTTATTCAGTCAGTACCTGTGGACCAATTACAATTGTGAGGCACTCATATACATATGGTTACTTTTTTATTAATAGGATACATATCTTTTCCAATGTCGGATCCTCCTTACAAAGTTCTGTAATGTGAGGTTGAATAATTTTAAATTATTAAGAATTAATAACGTTTCAAATTGTAACTCATAAATGTCACCCTTAAGTAACAGTTACTTGTAAACTTTTCAAAAGAGTAATTCAGCAATTAACAATCTCTCTTCTCTGGATTCCAGGCTGAAAATTGGGTTTTTATGTATTATAATGTGTGTCATAACTTTCGAGACATGTAATGGCTATTTTTATATGTATTATATAAGTGCTTACTGCTCTTATTGTTTGTAATACAAAATAAAATTTGAAGCAATAGTGTTTAAAATGTATATCAGGGGTGTGCACAGATATTTGGGGTAGGGTAAGTGGAATATTTTGAAAAAATACCACTTCCACAATAATTTCCTCCTCTAAAACTCAATGTTTTAAAATATTGAGATTTTAGACTTTCGCGAGTATTCATTTAAATGAAATTAATATTTTCGGATTACTAAGCGTTTTTTATTATTTTTAATGGGTAGACGAACATGTCTGCCGTCATCACGGTTGCTGCAAAGTAACTGAAACATTGGTAACAGTATGTAATTTTTAAAAATAATAATATTTATTGTTAAGCTCATGTTTGATCTAGTTTATGTATTCATTAATTTATGGATTTTGTATCAGTACAATGAAAATGAAATCAGTTTCATAATAGAGTGAATAAGGACAAGAAACAATTGATTAAAAACATAATTCTCAAGGTGGTGTACAAAGTTTATAACACAAAACAACACTCCCATAATAGGTGATGTGCCCTTGGTTTGGCCATACCTGCTGGTTATCTTTCGTCATCGTCAACCATAGTTATTATACACATGTAGACCACTGTCTGGGCCAAAATAGAAAATGCTTAATTTATAACTAGTTGCGACGTAAGGAAATATTTTACTTGTGTAACTTGTTTTTCTTGTCACAGCTTCCGGAGGGGACTTGCGTCGCTTTTGAATGAATTAATTTAATGGGGCTATTTGAATTAATTAATTTGAAAGTAACTTCATTTTTTGTTATATTATGTGACAAAGTAGTCGTCTTTGTAAGCAAATGTTCTTAGAGCTAACCAATTGTAATTATATAAAATTAACTACTATATACCTTGCTATATATTTTATAAAACGATACACTTACATAACACATCCCATTACAATTAAACATGGCCATGAGGCAAGGCAACAAATGCAGTTATAGGTTGATTGTTCCAGACATCTATGTCTTTGTATTATAATGATATTAAGAATTCGTTTTTAATTACATATGATTTTTAATTTAACGTGTATGAACAATATAATGTGACCGAATCAAACACTACAATTTACAGTTATCTAATTGACCAACGTTTATTTAGATATCCATTAACGAAACACCTGTCACGGTGGGTTAAGGAGGTGCGGTTTTTTTTAAACAATGGCCCAGTGGTTACCAATGTCTTGATGATGATGATTTATACTACTGGTCCTTTCATTTTGTCAGTAATGCTTTAGTAAACATTCAACATAGTTTAATTATGATTATTTTTTGAAGTGTTATTTATTTTTAATACTTATGTATGATTATTCATATATTAAATTATAATAGATACTTCACTTTAAAGTAAATTATTATTACCTGCAAAACTATAATAAAATATTCGACCTCCAAAAATTTAAAATATCTGTGTTATTGTACAGTCTTATCCGATAATATCATAGGATAAGAGAAACACTGACTATTGTCTTTAATGACCGTTTGTGTGTTGTCGTGTGTAATCTAATTTTACGTCGTTACTATAAATTATATAAGCAAATTTTAAATAACCCTATAATTGGTCATATACTTGAGATAATAATAATGTTTAATGATTACAGAGGAGAAGAGAGCGCGGGAAACGCTTGTGCAATGGCTGCATCAGCAGCCGCTCCGGCCACGTGGCGTGGCACCAACGACAGCGCCACGGAGTATTGTCGCCGCGGTAACACACCCGCGGCATATGGCAGGTACCAGAGGAACAACTCAACAGCATCCTACGCCACGACCCCCACACATGTCGAAAGGTGTTATATAAAACTAGAGTGGTTGGACGGGTCATAACAATGACCGCGACAACACTCATTGTACATTTATATAATGTAAATATTATTAATATTGGCATAAAAAAACAATACATTTATATTATATAGAAACCGACAGGAAAATAACAAGGTTACTAATAGTGGGTCTATCTAACGGAAACTATAGAATTATATATTTAGTATATAACAGTGTATGTAATTAATAATTATATTTAATTATTGTACTAAAAGCTTATACTAATTTTTAACCCAGACACCTTCACTTGACATTAATATCCCTAATAACATTTTATTATCCCACATAATCGCTTATCTTTCTTAAAATTGCTCGAATCTTGAATATTTTACTGTATTCTTTTAATATTTTTTTCTAAGCGCTTACCATTAATCGTGTCTAAATCCGAATAAATTAATATAAAAACCGTAAATATGATGTCTTTTATGAAGCTGTTACTAATTTATGAATTGTTATTGTATATCAGGACGACGCCGCATCACCGCTGGTGTTCGTCAGTAGGGGGCGCAGCCGGCGGTGAGAGTACCCCGAGCACGCCCGGCGGCGGGACCGAGCGGCGCCGGCGGCTCTCAGAGTCGGGCTCCTCGCGCTCAGAGACAAGCTCGCCCGAACCCAGCGACACCTCGCGAGCATCCACACCGCCCGCAGAACACCACACGCCCAGGAGGACGCCGCCCGCGCACACGCATCAGGTAATATACAAAGAACGTCCACTACAGACGATTTACCATTTACAATTGAATATGTAAAAGGTACGTTCAATGGAATGAGTAGTCATTAATGTAGATTAAATACATGAATAAACATACACAAGTACTTACTGTTCTTATAAATGTTGTTATTAGAATGATAGGTTTTTATAAATGTTTTGTTGTTTTATTTTCAGTGGCCGTCAACAGCGAATGGCAGGCCACTGGCGATATGTGTCCGGAACCTCCCCACTCGGTCGACCGACAGCTCCCTCAAGGACGGTCTGTACCACGAGTACAAGAAGCACGGGAAGGTGGTGTGGGTGAAGGTGGTCGGTCAGAATGCCGACCGGTACGCGGTCGTCCGTTTTAAGAAGCCGTCCGACGTAGAGAAGGCACTCGAAGTGTCTCAAGATAAGCTTTTTTTTGGTTGCAAGATCTCAGTGGCACCTCACCAAAGTTGTGACGACGATGCGGAATCGGCGAAACCCTATGAGACTGATATTGATGAATACCATCCGAAGGTAATACATTAGTCTATCCTTATATTATTTATGGTTTTGGCTGTCATCCACGCCGGAGTAGGCTCCCACGTGATCCGTTTGGCCCGCTCTCCGGCGCATGGATCTGTATACCATACCTTCCCACGTGAAACAACCGTATATTGAACAAGAAAAAATCGCCGAATTTGATGTCAATACTAATTCCATTTTTCAGGCGACCAGAACGTTGTTTATCGGTAACCTGGAAAAGGACGTTACACAACAGCAACTTAGGGATAAATTTAAGCATTTCGGGAGAATAATCGAGATCGATATCAAGAAGGGTAGCGGCGGGGGCGCCGGCTATGCTTTCTGTCAATACGCGTCCATATCGAGCGTCGTGGAGGCGATACGAGCCATGGACGGAGAGTACGTCGGCAACTCACGAGTCAAGCTCGGCTTTGGGAAACCGGTCGCCACCACCTGCGTGTGGGTCGACGGACTCACCGAACACACGGAGAAACAGGTCACTATACATACATACACACACACATACATACACTACACACATATATATGAGTTACATAAACATAACATTCAGATACTATTATGTTAGTATACTGTGGGACACGGAAACACAACGCCTAGCAGAACGACCGATTATAAATTAAATAAAAACTATCAAATAAATGAGTCAGGAAAGACATTTTCTAACATTTCCGCGTCTATACGAATATCATAATATTTATTATAAAGTGGAACTCTCATTGTGTATGTGGGGTGACTGACCTGAGATAAGAGCGACGTAACGACGCCACTCACCATCACTAACATGTAGTTGAACGGTGACCCAGAAACTACAATGATAGATTTTTGGTTCTCAACTAGTTTGTTATTCGAAATTAGCCGCGAGGAATGTGACTTCTACTCCCTACTGCGTATACTATTGTTTCGACTTTCTATGTATCTTTTAAAGTAAAAATTACTTGAAGTATAAATTAATTATTTAAGTATTAAGAATTAGCTCAAGTTGAAATTATCCCTTAAATAATTTAGAGGAAACCGCAGTAGAAAATATTTCATCACGTGGCGCTAATGTCAATCATTTTAGTTTAAATTTACATAGCTAGGTTTTAAGGGTACATCTACGTAAAGAATCCCTTATCAGAATCGCTAAACGAATTAACCTATTTTATTTCTTAAATGATGTTTGTGAATCTGGAACATTAGTGAAATTGTTTTATTATACATACTGTTTTCCTAACTTATAGTTCTTAACTAATCACGAAACCCGTCTTATTCTGTTTGGTTTCCTAAAAATCATTGCAGTAGTTGCAAAAGTTATGTGATAACTCACTTGAAAACTTATTTGGTACTGTACTGTGAGGGTCGCTGACCTCGCTTAACCTCTTATAAGCATGACTTAATGGCGATAGTCTATCAGTGAATAGAAAACATTAAATATGTAAAATTATGTCTTTTAGTTAAACTACCCGATAAATTTTGTTTTGAATCATTGCAGTGAATTTGTATTTTATGGTCGTCGAACTCTGTATACATATCAGATTCTTTTACGTATCTTTACCGCCTATATTTCCTGGCTCTTGCAAAAACCATATAAATTAAGTTTCTCTCTTTTAATTCTGTAAGGAAGTGTTGGACAGTATTTCTCACGTGTGCGGTGTGTGTGTGGCAGGTGCTGGGCGCGGTGTCTCGCTGCGGCGCGGCCACGTCCGTGTGTGTGGACCGCGCGGCGGGTGCGGCGCTCGTCCACTTCGAGCAGGCGGCGGCGGCGGGCGGCGCCGTGCGGGAACTCCGCCGCGTCGCCGCACAACTCTCCGCCGCCGAGCCCGACCACCCCAGGCTCTGTGTAGACTATGCATCCAGGGAGTGCCAGGTATGCACTAAAATAGACATCATTTTTCTTCTATATATTGAAGGCACTGAACTTTTAATTTATCCTTAATATTACATTACAGGAAGCGTTTTACGAGCAATTGGAAAAACATGGCGGTTCTGCTGCCCTCGCCGGAGCTGAACGGGTCGCGGGCGAGCTGCCCGGCCGGTATGTGGCGCCGCGACATGAGACGCTTCGGTAGGTGTTAACTTTTATGATTTAATAAAACATTTACTATCTCGTTGTATTACTATCGATTAATTGATTCACAGTTACGAGGCCGCTGGGACGAATCGTTCGAGAGCGCCGAGTTTCAGTCGCGCCTCTTCACGGACTCCGAGATATAATACAAACGATCATTACGATCCTGCGGAATATGCGGCCGATCGTAGATACAGGTTATTACTCGTTTTAAGTTTATAATAAAATTGTAAGATTATTCTTTTCGGTTTTTATGACTATCCACTGAACAACATAGCGGTTTGGAGCTTAACTCACAACACTGGTCCAAATGATTTGGTAGGTTTTTACATTTAATAATAGTTTATTAAATTATTTTGGTAGCATTCTGCCAAAATAATTTTGAAATATTCCTTGACCTCGAAGGTTTTCTAAATATTAATTTTGCCTACTTAGAAGATACCTTATAGCATTTTCTCTTTCTTTTTTGCTTAACTTATTACTAATGAGCAGGTGTCAGGTGTTGTTACGGTAACCTGTTGCTTTTTAGTCGTTATTTTTGTACTAATAGAAGACTTGTGTACATATTACCATTGGTAGATTTGATGGGCGCATGTTGTGAATTTAGAATCCAATTTGACGTAACTACCAAGTTTCTTAGTTCCTCGGTACTACAACCTTAATTCCGAACGGGTCGTAAAATTCCATATTCTTAGGATGTCTTTTAAGTATTCTCTGACCTTAAATAAAACATTTGTTCAACAGGGAATTCTAAGACCCGAAAAGAATATTATTTGTGACTGCTTTTATTCAATCGTTAGAATTTGTTTGCTTTATGTTTTTCGTAGATACTTTATTATTAGTGTTTTTATAACTCCATTAATTAGCTTTATTGCTTTTTTAGGGTATTTGATGATTTAGGATCTAGTCCACAAACAGATGATGCAAACTATGAAGAACGTTTGCAGTCAGTAGTGGTATCTCCTCACCGTGGGCATAAACATCGGAGGGACTCCAGTCCAGAAGGAAGAAAACATTCAAAGGTCAATTGCATTCATCGAAACATAAGAAATTCTACTATATCGTTATAATGAATATGTAAAATTGAATGTGATAAATCTTAAACTCTATCTGTAACATTATACCTCAGGAGCGGCACCGTAGCGCTGGCGGCGGATCTCGTCGGTCCCGATCGGGGTCCCGCGGTCACTCGTCCCGGCGGAGGCATCGCAGACGACGCGATGGATCCGAGTCGAGGGGCTCTCGAGCGTCCCGAGCTGGTACTCCCTTGAGAGACGAGCTAGACGCGCCTCCCACGGAGCCGCGCCGCCCACCGCGGGAGCGACCACCGCTCCCTATGAGTCTCCCTCTGCCGAAGTTTGCCGTGCAGTTGTTACGAGCCGCGCCACCGCAGCCGCGCCTCCTGCCACCGGCCCCCGCCTCGCCGCCGCGCCCGCCCTCCGCGTCTTCCTCTAGCGGAGGCTCGGCGCCTCACTCGCCCTCGCTGGAGGAGCGTATACGGTCTCTTGACGAAAAGTATGAGAGGTGGACGGGATCGCGAGCACACATCGACGCTCCTGATAGATCCCGCCTTCGACATCGTTTACTGGAATTGGATATCAATGAAGTGAAGCCCTCGGATGTAGTGCGCTCCCTCCTGGCTAAGCGCTCTGTGTTCGATGAGGATTCTGAGCGGTTGGAGGGGGCTACCCGCGCACCGAGCCCGGGAGGTAGCCCGCGTTCTTTACCGGTTTCAACGTCTCGTGTCCTACGATATCCTTTTCCTGTTCACGGCGTGCATACTTCAGCTGTCAATACGCCATCAACGAATCCAGCGGGTCTCACTCAACCACCGGAACCAGAAGATTATGATAGAATGAGACTATTAAATATGGATAAAATAACCAAGCATGTAGACATCGAAAACGGTCAAGAGATAAGAATGCGATTGCGCACTCCTTCGACGGACAGGCCAATGTTGGATAATTTTGAAAAGAAGCATTCTCCGACAAGTGAAAAATCCGAAAGTCGTTCGCTGCCAGAAACAGAAACACAAGAAAATAAAAGAAGAAATTCTTTCATATCAAACGTTGAGGACAGTAAGAATGCAACAATAACGGACAAAGCTACCTTGGAAAGAATAAATCTGGAAAAATCCATTGAAAAAAGTATTTTGGAAATCCAAGAAAAATATAATATTAGAGACAATAAAATTATTTGTGAAGATAAGATCACGACCTCTGTTGTAACATCTATTAAGAAGGAGGAAATCATTGAAGAGAAAGTTAAAGCCAGTGATTTCTTTAATAAATTCGAAAGAAAATGTTTCAGAGAAGATACCAAATCACGATGTTTAGAAACAAAAAGTGAATTAAAACAAGAGTTGAGCATGGATATAAACAAAAGTGATAAATATCTGTTAACAAACGATTATTCTTCTAAGACTGAAGTGATGCTCATGGAAATGAAACAAAAGTTAGATCACGATAAAAAAAGCGAATTTAATTGTCAACCCAAGCAAAATGAAAGGTTTAAAGATAAATATCATAACGCCACTAATAAGAATGTTACCAATTTTAGAGTGCAATCAGAGAGTCATTTTCATTCATTAAATAGTATTGATTTACCTAAAAATAAAATGGAACCGGTAGAAGAGTCAGGTCATACTGAAAAAAGTAACAAGGAGATGCTTTTAAAAACTATAACTTGTGCAAAAGATAATGTTCTTTTAAAACAAATTGATGAGATACATCACGTAAAATGTGATAAAACTAATAATGTTCATGCATTAACTCCTTCTATACCACACGAAGAAAAGGCTACTAGTAAGGTTCAGGAGGACTGTACTAAAATTGAAAAAGATAAATTAAGACATATTCGTGACAAAATAGACAAAGAAATAGAAAGAGATAAATCAAAAATGAAGCAAACTACTTCTAAATTTGATAAACATGATAAGGAACGCAAACTTAAAGATGATTCTGTTAGTACAAAAATACATACAGAAAAATCTGATAGAACTAGAAACGAGAAAGAAGGAGACAAAATCTTAGATAAAGACCGCGATTTTGAAAGATCTAAAGTAATTGAAGACAAAACATCTCGTCATGACAATCACAAAAGAGATAAACAAGAAAGGGACAGGAAAAAAGATATCCCAGAAAATGAAGGTATGGCTAAGGCTTCAAAAAAGGAAGACAAGCATAAAAATGATAGACCGAAAAAGGATAGTGATAATAAGCGTGATAATAAACGGGAAGGAGACTCGTCGAAAAGTAGAAAAAGTTCCAGAGACGAATCTATTCGAGATATTTGTCGTAAAGATTCGACAGACTCTACAACATCAAGAGCGTCCCACGATTCTTCAAAATCAAGAGAATCTGAAAACATTGAGCTAAAGGACGACACGAAAAGTAGAATTAAGAGTCTCTCGGATGCAGTGAATAAAGCGGACACAACGGAAAAAGATTCGACAACAAAACATCACGACCACCTCAAACTGGACAGTAAAACAAAAGTTAAAAGTGAAATTAAAGATGAAAAAGATCCATCTGAGCAACATTTTAGGAATAAAATAGAAAGCTATGTTGATAACAAGAAAATTAAAACGGAAAATTCTGAAAAGTCGAGGCATTACTCCCTAGATTCACCTAGCGTTGACATTAAAAGAAAAGAGCGTTTAAACTCGTGTTCAAGTTTGCCGTCTAATATAGGCCATAAGCGAAGAATGTCTTCACAAGACAGTATAGATTGTCTCAATGAGGAAATAAAGAAAGGTAAAAGTGAACGTCGCGAATCTAAAGACTGTAAATCTGTTGAAAGACATAAAACCACAAAGTTTAGTAAGGGACATTTCGCTAAAATAATTGAGAGTAAAACTAAAGACGATAAGAAAAATCAAGTCAAACCACCTGATACAATTTTTACCAATCCTAAATGCTTAGACACAAAAGAAATCGGTAACGATAAACAAAAAACATCCAGAAAAAGTCCGATTGAAAGTATTGAAAGCAAGGCAATATCTACCCCCACAAACATTTCATCCGAGCCTTTGCATAATAATTTTGATTTTCTGGCTACCTTAGAACTTCGGTCTAGCGAAGAGGATGAGAAACAAAAAGCTTTAAGGAAAGAGATGAAAGAGAAAAAACGAATACAACAACTACAACAAATTCAAGAACTTCAGATGCAGCAAGATGCCTTACAGCAAGCAGAGATAGGCAACAAAATAAAAGATGATAGAAAAATAAAATCTGATGACAAGAAAAAAGATATTTCAAGAGAAAAACGGATGTCTACTGAAAGAAAAAGCAAAGATGAAAAAACTGATAACATTAAGCGACGCAATAGAAAACAATTACATAGCACTGATACCTCGGATTCAGATGAACCCAAAAAGCATTCTATATTTGATATAGTTGATGATGAGTATAACATATCCATGTATGATAAAGTGAAAGCTAGATCATGTAAAAATATGCAAAAACAGGAAGAAGAAAAGAGACAGGAAAAAATTAAAGCCAAGTTTAGTCAATTGAAACAAAGTAGGGCTAAACGTGAGGAAAAGAAAAGATCAAGTTGGGATGAAGACAGTGATTCTGATAGCGAAAGACGTAAATCTCGTAAAATATCAATAGACAGCTCATCAGATGAAGATCACATTACAATACACAGTAAAAAGCGTGAGAAATCACAAGGATCGAGTCTTGAATATGACCGTAATAGAACTAATGATTATTTCGACACAATAAGCAATGAAGAAGATTCCTCTAATAAATTATCGCGTAAAAATTCAAGAACACGGATTATGTCTGATTCATCTGACGAGGAGAACAGTCGGAGGAAAGCTAGTAAAAGTCCATGTTTTATCGATAGAATTAAGAAAGAAGTTTTTTCAGATTCTGAATCTTCTACGAAATGCAAAGACATTGATGCTGATTTACAGCTAAAACAACCCTGCGAAGACAAAGTTAAGAAAACATCGCTTTTAAATTTGTTCGGTAAAAGCGATAGCGAAGATAATAGACTTAAGTCAACATTTGAAAATGATAATGATTATAGAATGTCATTCACAAAAACTTTCCCTAATGACTTGTCTTCAGAAAATGAGTCAATACCGAATAGAATATCTTCTGAATTACGCAGAAAACATAAGAAAAAACAAAAGAGATATAAGTTTACATATTCGGACGAGGAAAACAAAAGTAATCATGACGGTTCTACAGAAATTAGAAGCAAACATAAGAATTCTGATAAAAGTCGCCGACACAGTAATAAAAAAGAAAAAAGAAGAGATAAGATACGTGATAGCATTGATACTGACGAACCAAAGGAAGAAAAAGATAAAATAAAAATTGAGAAGTCCTCTCCCAGCCATTCCTTTGACACCGTGTTGGAGGCAATGTCAAATAATAACAAAAAGGAAGGCAAAATGGAAGACATATTTGGTCCTTTGTCAGATGAATCTGATAGAGAGGTCAAGACTATTGGCAATAAAGTTGATGTTTTACCACCAGAATTGGAGACATCGATATGTAGTGGAGCTGATAAATTAAGTAGTGATGAAATGAAGATGAGAGACAAGGACGAAATTAAAAGGCGAAAAGAAAAGAGACGGAAAGAAAAGAGACATTTCGTTAAAGAAGATGATAACAGCTTGGATGTAGATGCCGTAAGTAAAGCTATTGAAGCTAGATTATTCGAAGAGTCAAATGTTGACAACAACCATTCTAGATCGGAAAAAACAGAAGCTAAAGTCAATTCTGAAAGTGATTTGAAATATATGAGTATCAATTATAAAGGAGACTTAAATAAATACAATGAAAAGTCCAAAAAAGAATCTCGAGAGAGAAAAAAGAAAAAGAAGAGAAATAGAGAAGAAAGACAAAGTCGCAAAGAACATCATCATGAGAAGTTACATAAAATGGATTCATTTTTAGATAATCACATGGAACAATTATCACCAAAAACATTACTCGATATACCATTACCTACCGATATCCCTAAAGTTGAAATAATGGATAAGTCGGATGACAGTAAATCTTTATCTGAATCTCCGAGTTTACCGAGAATAACAGATAGTCCTACCTTCGTTTTAAATACAGATGATACTAACAACACTACAAATGAGTATGATACTCCTAAAAGTCTCGTCGTTGACGATGAAGTCGAGATTGACTACGAAATGACAAGAAACATTGAAGTGACAGACATACCTATGCCTCCTCCTATAGACAACATTGTTCAAGACATCAGCGAAGTGCCCCTACCGAAAGATCCTCCAATTGATCAAGTGTTAGAAATATCATTACCTGATAGTGAGGATTCTAATGTTAACACAGATGTTAAAGAAAATGAAGTGGCGGTTAAAAGTATATCGAATTTAGAACCAGAAATTGAAAAACCTGTTGTGCAAAGTGACAAAAATTTAAGTGACTGTAAATTAGACAAAAAATTAGAAGAAAAACCTCGGGCTATAATTTCACAAGAGGAAACTGAAGATGCTGTGGCGGCTTTACTTGGTGAAAGTTTTGGAGGTAAAGTAAATACTTTTGATTGTTATGAAGAAGTAGAATGCAACACGTCCAATGAAATGGAGATAGAAAGTACGACGATTGAAAGTGAACTTATCCCTGAAGAAGATGCAGAAGAAATGAGGCAGGCTGTTCAAAATCTAAATGCCAGTGAAATGGAAATGAAACCTGATACTCCAGTGTCTGATGATAATCTATTGTTGATTGACACGGATACCGAGGAAACAGAAGATACTACTCAGGATACTATAGACAGATTACCGGTTAACATCATAGCAACAAACCAAGCCCTTAATAATAACACCAAAATAACTGTTGCTCAATCTACCGAAGTTAGTAGTATCGTAATCTCAAAGCCAAAACCAACAATGGCAAATTCTGTACAGAAAGAAATTAACGAATCGATTAATAATGTGAAGGAGGAACAAGTTAAACCTACTGTTAAAAAACAAGAAACTGTGGAACAAATTACATCGACAGCGACTCCAGTCATTACATCTTGGACGTTGTCAAATAATAAGTTAATAGAATCTCAAGTAGTCAATGCACCTGTTAGTTCTGCTGGCAGCCGAGAAATTCCTGAAAATACCCAGACACATATAAAAACAAATATTGTACAGATTAAAACATCGCATAGTCCCAAAGTTCAGATAAATAACACTTTGAGGCCTATTATAACTTCAAACAGGGTTAGTACAGCTCCTTACCAAGTGATAAATCAAATGATTAGACCTCAAGTATCTAATATTCAACCTCCAACAATCAAAATTCCTGAACCTCATATTATTTATCAAAAGCCAACCAACATTGTTATATCACCAAGGATAAATAGTGAACCTTTAATTTTGAGTCCGAAATCTAGTGTGCAAACAGAAGGTATGACTTCACCACGTCTACCTAATATGGCTTTATTGAGTACATCACCTCAAAATGTTGTTGGATCACCAAACGCAGCGCAGCAACGGGCGCAGGGTCAACAAGTAACTGTGGTTCGAATGCAACAGTCACCACTAAGTCCTATACACGGTATGCATATTCCACATGCGAGGGCTATGGTGTCGCCAAACAGACCTAATTCTGTGTTAGTTCAAACTCAGGGAACTCCGATACACTTTAATCGATTACCTGTAACACCAGTTCTTGCTCCCATTTCTAAGCAAATAAATGCTAACATCATTCAGTCAACCAAAGGAAGCGGATCTTACGATTCTGTGCTAATTCAACAGCAGAAAATCTGTCAAACAATACCAAGTGACAGGGGAAAACAGGAGACTCCACCAGATGCTTCTAAAATTATTTTGTCACCTAATAGATTGCAAAGCTCGGTCCCAACTGTAATGACTCAAAATCGTCTCATACCTGTGCAAAATTCAATTCATGTGAGTAATATAAATTCCGGCTTGAATTTACCAAACAAAGTCTTAATAAATAATAAAAGCCCATTTAGTGACAAAAGAGAAACTCACATAAGCAAATCTGAAAATATCGTCGCCGCTACTTCTTCGCCGATTATACATTTATCGGGACCTACTCATTCATCTTCTAATATAATTCAAGCAAATACAAAATCAGTAATGTGCAATCTTCAAGAAGTAACTACCGTGAGCAGAGGACATGGTTCAAATGTAATTCACTCCATAAATACACAAAGACATGTATCCTCGAGTCCTATAACAAGTGTTATCCAGCTAGAACCTGCAAAAGGCCCTCCTTCTGTTTTATCAATGGCGGCTGTTCGAACATCGTCGCCGGGAGTTAAACCAGAGTTGTCGACAACAGTTGTTGTTACAACATCCAGCCTCGCCAATGTGGTGATGACTCCATTGCTTTTGAAAACTAGTCCTAGTCCAAAACCAACTTTAAGGCTACATACCAGAAGTGAAAGTGAGCAGGTTGATGCCCATTGCAATAACGAAATGCAAACCAGCGAAGATAGAATGGAAACATCTCATAAAGAACTTGAACAACCAAATAATATACAACAATCTTCACCTATCACCCATCTGTCACCCATAGATCGTGTTGGTAAATGTGAAACTGATTTCGAAGAGCTCTTAAAGGATAACATAAATGAAATTAAAATAACAAATGACCATCATAAAAAGATAGACATTAATATTAATAAAAATGTTGCAATTATTGGTCAAGTACAAAATAGAAGAAACAGCATTGATAATGATGTATCTTTAATGAAACATGAAGTAGAAAATTTTATAAAAAACGAAGCAGACAACGAAAACACTTTTAAAAAATCTGAATCCGTAGATATGTCTTCAGTAAAGAAATGCGAAAATGATTTATCAACAAAAATTAAACCTGATAATAACATGCTATGTATAACAGAGAAAATTCCTCAAACAAACGAGGGTGACTTATCGAAACCAGTTGAAAGTAACACAGCTATCGTAAAAGAAAACAATGCTCCCGTAATCCCAACTAGTCACGATATAAAAGACTCTATAAGACCTGAACCTGCTGCTAACAAAAATGATTTCTATAACCCACTTTGTATTCAAACGCAAGCACCTATAAATGATATTAAAAGTCTAGATGAAAGTGAATACTGGTCAGGTAAAGATATAATTAATATAGAATCAGTTATTAAGAAAGTTGATTCGTTATGTAGTGACAATGTCGAAGAAAAGAAAATAGAAGAAAATACAACTATACAGCCTTTAGTAATTGAAATGAAAAAGTCCGTCGAAAGAAATGTTCAAAATGAGATTTTTATTGAAGAAAGTGAGGCTGCTAAAACTGAAAAACCTAATGACAATAAAGTTGTCGAAAACGCAATAGATCCTTTTCAAGATAATAGTTTGATGGAAGATTATGTTACAGAAAAAATCAGTACGGGTAAAAGAGGGGGCCGTAGTGGTAGGGGTAAGAAATCGGACAGAAATCCGGATAAGGTACATACTCGTCAAATAGCAAAAACTCCTAGAGGTACCTCGAAACGTGGTAGAGGTCGAGGGAAGGTAGACAAAAAAATTAAAAAACATGATAAATACCAATGCTAATAATATCCCTGGTGATGTATACGATTTTCATGAAGATTCCGGGGATGAAACAGTCTCGTCACCTAATAAAACCGAAGTAAGACCACGTCTTATTTTGACAATTAAAAGTCCTCTTTCTGGCAATTCCAATACCGTTGTTTCAACCTTAAGTATAGCACAGAAGGACCCTGTAAAAGTTGCTGAAAAACATAAGGAAGAAAAATCTGATGTCTTTGCATCGCCCTCAATAAATACAAGAAAGTCTCGACGTCTCCAAGAAAAAGATATACAAAGAAGTTCAGTTGATGACATCATTGATGATGTCGTAAAAGGCACGGCCAATCAATTTAAAACTAACAACAAAGAATCAAATAAAAAGAAATCTACAAGACAGAGTGGAAATAAAACGGGCGATAAAGCGCTTTCAAGTGACACACGGAAATCTCCCAGAGGAGTTAAAAGAACAAGGGATAGAAGTTTGTCAGACGCTTCTACCGAAAGCTGTGAAGACAACACTAAAACAGAGGAAATCATCAAAGAGCCCAAGATACCGAAATTAGAACCCACGATTCCAGCCACCAAATGTACTCCCGAACCTGTCGTTAAGCCCCTTATAGTTACCAGCCAGAGTGCCACCGCCTGTCCACCTAATAACAACCCGATACCTATAATGAAACCACCCAAGAAGATGATATCTGAAATAAGCGCAAAGCTCGCCAGCGCCTTCGAGGCGGCTGCTAACGCGACCAACCGTATTCAAGAACGTTCCATCTTGCCGTCGGAGCCGGAGCGTCTCCCGCCACCGGCTGAGGGCGCCATAGGTGATGGCGACGCGGGCTACGGGCGACGACTCGTGGACAATGTACCCTCTAACATGATGCCCGTGGGAGCCACAGAGGCGACGGATGCGAGGGTTCAGTCCCCCGCACTGCCGCACAGACCACCTTCCTCACATCACCTGCCCGATCGAGCTACACCCATCCTTGTCAGGTAAAGATATATCTACTGTTCAATGATTGGGGATTGCGACCGAGTAAAGAGCTTTAAAGAAAAAGTTTTCTATGCAACTTTACTTTTTATATGTTCACAAATAATTTAATTAAGAATCTAGACTATTTAATATACACATATAAATCATGTTCTGCAAGAATTGGTAAGAAATGAGGAAGGATTAACATCTGATTGAAACTTTCTTAATTATTTTAAACAGGGGTGGCGATGGAGAAGGAGGACCGATCGCTGCCATGGGACCGTTGGGTGCGATGGGCGCCATGGGTGGAGCTATGGGGGGAATGGACGCGGGCGCGGCGCTGTACCGGGGCGCGTACCCGGGCCCGGCCAGCCTGCCGCGGGGAGCACACCACCCGCCACTCGCCAAACAGGTCGCCGTCATCGGACAAAACCATCACCCAGGTTCGTTGCGTTCATAAATTTGTTGTACAAATGACAAAATACACAAATTAAATGACTAAAAAGTGTTAAAATAATAATAATTTGGGATTTAATTATTTTTTGTATCAGGATCACGCGTTACTATCACAAGTGTACCCGCTGGCAGTCCACAAGGACCGATGGCAATTGTAAGTTTATATTTATATAAAAAAATAATAATAAAAGAAGAAACAGATACCTCCCACGTAAGTTGTATGCCACAAAAATGCTATTTTGCTTTTTTTATGAAAAATATCCTAGTGTGGATCATTACATCCATTCAAATTTAAAAAACAACAAAAACACTATTTTTAAAGGATTTGTCAGACGCATAATGTAATTTTCAAACGCAAACGGATTATAATAATAATAAACCTTTATTGGTTAAAAGATTACACCACTACAAAACAAACAACAAAATAAAAATCAATAACAATAATAATAAGTGTACAGCAGTGTAATCTAACCAAAAGGAGAACCACTTAGTGAAAAATAGAAGCAATGTTGCTTCTACACTGATTTTCAGTGATCTCCTAAGATTGCGGCACTGACAGCAGTAACAATTACATTCAATTAACATTGTTAAATGTAAACATAACAAAACAAAGAAAATAATATATCATATTAAAACAAACACATTAAACTGATTAAACTGATGTATATGCCTATGTAATTGTATACGCGGGGCGCGAGGTGGGTAAAATCACGCGCTCGCGCCGCGTATGAGTTACATATAACAGATTATGTTTTTCAACGTATATAGTTGTAACTATCATATACCACAAGTGATGCTACCTGGGCGCCGCGGTATAATGTTTTAAGTATCAGTTACAACACCTTTTTTTAGCTTCTACTCCAATAAAATAGGCATATCAATCAAAATATCTTTTAACGTAGTTAAGAAGACTATTATGTTAAATTTAAATACGAAATTTTGAAAAGATTTATCAATAAATGCAGATATTGGTTTAATTTGAATCTTTGAAACGCTCTACTGTAAAATTACAGTTTTGGAGATATAACAACTTACCTGGGAGATATCGAAACGTTTACCATCATTTTATTTGACTATAGAAAACTTTGATTGTCATTTCCACGTCTTTTTTACAGGGCGAAGGTGTATACCCGCATTTCTCACATCATCATTATCAAATGTATCAGCAACATTTCCGTGCGACCCAACAAGAAAACAGGGACACGCCAACATCCTTTACTAGGTTCGTTATTTTTCTTTACAAAATTTTAAGAAAATACTTAATATTACAGTCTTAAATAAAACAATTACGAAAAAAAAATCGCTACGATTTACTATAAATGAGAGTGATGTTTCGATGCAAATAACTATGAGTAATAAGTACATATATATACTCATAAATAATTTTACAGAGGCGCATTGGACGCCGAGGGCTCGGAAGCTCCGACGCCTCCCCTGGAGCTGCGTCGTCCTCCATCAGCCCGTGTTCCTCGTCCCGCGCACTCGCCCTCGCCGCACGACCGACATATCAGTAAGTATATAATTATTTACATACTCCAAAGCGTAGTCAAAACAAAATCAATCAAAAGTGCTTGCATTGTCTACCTGCTTAAAATTTCATAAGTGCCCCTCAAATATGTACACAACACAATTTTTCTTATAATAATATCCAATTACAATTACAAAAACTTTTCTAAAGTATTCTTCTAGTATACACTCTACATAGCATCACACCAACTCTCACTAACGACAACAATAAAGTAATAAAAAGTACCTTTTAAGTTGCTAAAATTAGTAAAAACTGCGCAGCTGTGTACGTTCTTTTGTCGCTTTGTTTTTATAGCCCGCAATAAACTCGACTGTCGGAATCATGCATACCGAACTTTCTAAGAAATTCGTTCTTTTGTTTACAAATTGGGATAGCTTACACGTGTCGACGGTTTTTGACCATAAGTAGGAGTCTTGGATTACCTATACGTTATCATATTCTCAGTTGCTTACAAAATCTCAAACTGTAAACATGTCTAGTAAAAGAAAATCATTGGGTGTTGACGAAAAAGTTTTAGTGATACGCGCAATAGAAACGGGAGAGAAGATAAGCGATGTTGGCAAACGCTTTGGATATAGTCGCTCTACCGTGTATACAATATGGAAAAGTAAAGAAAAAATTCTCCAAGCTGAGGACGAGGGGAGATCTTCCAAAAAATTAAAGAGACCTAAATACGAAGATTTGGATCAAGCTATACTATCATGGTTTCACCGACAGCGCCAGAATAATATGGTTATCTCGGGGCCCCTCGTGAAAGCTAAGGCGAAGAATTTTGCTGAAGAACTTGGATTAACTTCTTTCAAAGCATCGGAAGGATGGCTCGGAAAATTCAGGCAACGTCATCATATCAACTATGGTAAAATTAGTGGGGAAGCACAAAGTGTTGATACGAATGTGATTGAGCCTCCGCCGAGCATTAAAGAAGCTTTGGAAGCAGCTAAATTATTGGAAAATTATATCCTTTATTATCAAGATGCCTCAATATCACAAGATATGAATAAAATAGGTAAAAAAATACAACAACATTAATGGTGCAGCAAAAGTCAAACAAAAATAACAGACTATACGCAATAGCGTTCGAATAACATTATTTTTTATGTACATAAGTACTAACACTAGTCTGAAATAAACTTTGTCTTTTTTTAATTCTGATTCTTCTTCTCTGTATTTAACGACAACTCTATAACGCCATAAAATGCACAGTCCCTTTAGTGTCGTTATATAGAGTTGTCACCGTATCGTGTCGTGTGTTTCCAGTGTACGCAGTGCGGTGCGGTCGTTCCCCTCCCCCCGCTCACGGCACGTCCCGGCCGTCGTCCGCGCTGCCCCCGCCCGCCGCGCCCGGCCCGCCGCACGCCTCTCAGGTCCCGCGGGAGGCGGACTCCCTACAGATGCTTTTACGGGTAAGTGGATCACGCATAACGTTGTTCTATTATTGCGTCCGTAATTAATTGTAATGTTAATAGTAGATTTATTTATTTTGCAATGTTTGTATACATTATATATAGAAAGTGATAATGTGAGAAGAAATGACGAATCTGATACAAATAATATTCGTGTTTATATTTATATTTATTTATACAGGGCGACTGGTGAATTACTATCAATATTTAAGAACAATACTCGGTACATGATTCTCATTCGAATTAAGTAAAAAAAAATAGGTACTTAATTTTTGACCAAATTTCCGTATAAATAAATAAAATGTGGACACGTTCCAAGTGTTCCAAGTGTGGACGCGTGTGGCGGCGTGCTGATACAATACCACGCCGCCGCACGCGTCTGTGTGTGTGTGTGTACACCTAATCTGTAGGGTGTTTACACGATGCTTAATTAATTACATAACTTTTGGTTAACTTTACTTAGAAGTTTATTAATATTTATGTTATATTAATTTTTATTTTGTCATATATGATCGTCAAATATCACGTCCTCAAGTATCGATAGTAATTCACCAGTCACCCTGTATATATATTTATTTATTTTATTTAAGTCATTTATTCTCTCTTCACAAAATACTTCATATACATCATCTTATATAAATATACATTAGTGAGAGACCGGAGCCCGTGATGGGTATAAGAATACCTGTATTACAGGTCTCCGTTATATATAAATATAAAAATAAATGTGTTTCCGTCATCAGCGCTACCCGGTCATGTGGCAAGGTTTGCTGGCTCTCAAGAACGACTCGGCGGCCGTGCAGATGCATTTCGTGGGCGGCAACCCCGGCGTGGCGGCCGATGCGCTGTCGCGACACTCTGACGGCACGGCCGCTTCTTTATTGCGCATCGCACAGCGCATGAGGCTGGAACCAGCTCAGCTGGATCAAGTGCATCGCAAGATGAAGGTACCGACTTTTATGGACTTTTACAGCGCTAGAGCAAGAAAAACTTTTATTTTGTAGGATTTTTTTGCTCATTACAACATATAGAATATTTCTAAAGCATCAATTGCTGTAAATCGTGATTTAATATTTTCATATTATTATTATTTATATTATTATTAGCTCGAAAATGAACACTGCATGCTGCTAGCGCTCCCCTGTGGTCGCGACCACATGGACGTGCTTCAGCAGTCCACCAACCTAACGGCCGGATTCATCACCTACTTGCAGCGCAAGCAGGCTGCCGGCATCGTTAATGTAGCGCCCACACCAGGCCACCATCAGGTACGGTCATATACTAACACATCGCTGATAGTACAGTATGGAAATAGTAATAGTTTTTAATAATTTATCAATGTTATAATCATTGGGACTAAATGTAGATGAACAGACAATGTATTGAAGAAAGACCATCACAAGCAAATCGCCCGTTTCGAGTATCTTATTTTTGTATTCGATTTATAACAGGGAAAGTTCACGGGGAGTTTGTAAATGTTTGATATTAAGTGTGTAGTTTGTAATGTAATATATTTACTGTCCGCAGTCTATGTACACGGTGCACATCTTCCCGTCGTGCGAGTTCGCCAACGAGAACCTGACGCGCATCGCGCCCGACCTGATGCACCGCGTGTCCAACATAGCTCACCTGCTGATCGTCATCGCCACGGCCATCGGATGAGGCCCCGCCTGCGCCGCCTGCGGGCGCGCCCCACTCCTACACCCGCGCGACACCGGACTGGACTTTGTATTCTCGGAATTTAGAATATTCGATCTCGACCGTGACCAAATGTACTATTTATACACGCTGCTACATGAGTGTTTTAACAAAAAAATGTAAATATATCCAGGTTGTGAAAGTTGTTTTATAATGTGACCGCGGCCCGCCGCTCGGAGACTCTCGGGCTGCAGTCGGTGAAGTGTGAACGCTCGTGCTGGTGAAGTAACGCTAGTGTCGGCGATTAGTTCAGCGCGCAAGGACGTGCATGTATAGAGTGCAGTGCCGCGTATGAAGGCCGCCTTCGTCTATTTATTTAAGTTAGATTTAGGATGTAGCTTTGTAAAGTACTTTTGTTATGGTCGACTGGGATCGGCCTTGTTCGGAGTTTAAATTTATAAAAATATGATATTGACGTGCGAAGTCAGTTAAATATATTTAATAATTTTGGGTTTCGATTAGATCGGTGGCAATCTATCGAGCATTTTTTATTGTTAGTGTAAATTGTTATTTTGTTTTAAGCCTAGAATCTAAAGTAATTTAAATGTTGTAAATACCTGATCTACCCATACTAAAATTCGATTTATTCACTTAGATCATTACGGTAGGTAATGCAAAACTCTTATAACGGGGTCGTACGATAATACTGTTTAATGATAAGGAACTTAATTGTATGTAAAACGATAAAAAATACACGTGGAAAATAAACTGTGATTCTGACTTATTGTAGGCTTATAAGTAGTCTTGTAAAGCATACGGAGGAATGAGTATGTGTGATCGTAGCGGCTCATGGGACGTCACTCTCTATATTGTATGTTGTGTATGTGTGTGTGTAGTGTACACAACATTGGGCGGAATATAGCGGCTATCACTACCAAATGATCAGTGTGACAGAAATAAACAAAATAATATCTAAAATGAACTCGTTGTAACACTTTATTTTATGATTTTAATTTGTTTACCTTCTCTACTATCATAACAAATTAAGATAATAAAATGCAGATGATAGACAACCAGTCATGCCTCTCGCTTCATGTGTAATATTAAAACTAACCGAAGTCATTGGTCCTTTAGATGTTGTACATTGAAAGTTACATTCGATGTGTGTATGTGTGTGTGTGTCACATCGGACGTAACTTTCTCAGTATGTGTTTGTAGTGACGTCTCATTAGCCGTTACTAATCGTATGTTCGGACAGTAAGTTTTCTCCATTCCACGCCACTCGCCTCACCCGACGCCATCTCTCGACTGAGCCCCGACGTTTCAAACACATATACTGTTGTAATACGAACTGACCATATTATACTTCTCTCTGTTTCATAGAGTCTGCGTAGAGTTTGACCGGTTTTCTCTATTGTCTTATCCGTGTTTTATACTTGTCTTTATACATATAAAAAAAATTGGTTAATCGACTTTTTTCAAACTATTGTTAAGAGAAAATTGCGACTCTATCGTCGTACTAAAAACAGAGTACAAAATATTTTATGTCTTGTAATTTTATATGTACGATATAGAAGTAAACGGCACGCGTAACATGTATATTCTTTTTAAGATTAAAATGTATAGTTGTAAAAATGTTATATGTTTGGTCATGCTTCCGTCGCAAGCGGTTCCCGATTTAGCTAGGAGAAACACTAACGAACTGTCACTTCGTCCATTAATTTTAAACATAATTTTATTAGTAAACTGTCGCCCAAAATATGTATTTGACTCTCTTATGAAGGGAGTCGATGTAAATAAGTTTCCAGTAAATATAGCGTAACAGTATTTAGTCTTGATAATGAGATAAATTTATGAGATAGTAGACGGCACATGAGAATTATAGAAGAAATATTTATTGATGTCAAATCGGTATTTACTCATTATTTATTTATTGCTGCGATGTAATTATTTTTTGGTAATCGGAATGCAAAAAAATTATAAATTTTGCCAATAAGTAATTGCATCCATCCGTTTTACGTCAAAGTGTCAATTACTAATGTCTAATATTAATACGAGAACGTTCCTTTCGGACACGGTGTACATTTCATTTGGTCGGTGGTCGCAGACTGAGCGGTAGTGAGCGGTAAGGGTAGCGGTAGGGGTAGGCGGTAGTGGTAGGTGTGATGAGAAGTATAATATAGTACGGTTCGGAAGAGCCGCTCGGACCTATGGGTATGGTATGGCGTGATCGGATGCGTTCGGGTGAGATCGGGTTTGTTCGGGTGTACCCAGTGGGGGGCGCGGCCTGCGGTTGGCGGCGGCGGCTGCTGCCCGCGTGAGAGTTGTAGCTTAAATATGTATAAAATTAACATTTGATCTCAAGTGTGCAGCAAAAGTGAAGGTGAGGTGACTAGACTGTTATATAGCAGCAGCCGCAGCCGCTGACGCCCCGCCGCCCGCGTATCTACGGTTTAGATGTAACTTTGTATTAAGGATATAAAAATATTGTGATCATATTTCTACTGTAAGATTAAATTGCTAGGTATAGATGTAATTGTATATTTTGTACATACTGAGAATAGTATTGTATCTTTACTTCCCTTTATCCAAAAAACCCAGACTCCTGTGTGTTATGTACCTCCTACCTACCAATACTATTAAAAAAAAATAATACTTGACATTTGTTTTATTTTTCATTCCCGACGCCTATCAATTTAGATACACTTATACATATTAAAAGGTTAAATCGAGACTGACGGAAGTTGAACTCTTTAAATAACAGGGGAAAAAGTTTATTAATATTGATTTCAGTGTGCGTATTTCATCCTTAAGTAACGTTCCGTTAACACCTTTCTAAACCTTTTATAGGCACATTGTTAGGGATTTATGTCTTTGAATTTTGATATTTCAAATTCAATTAGTATTTAACAAGTGTTAAGTGCTATATCGTATTAAAACATTGCTATTTTGAAAGTATCAGCCAGTTTATATAACTACCACAAGTGTAGAATGCTATCATATTACACATTTACCGTTTTAACAATTATACTAAAGGGGACAGTTAGCCATTAAATAGAAATAGCTCGTCTAGTAAAGTAATAAAATTAGTACTTTATTTATTACTAGGAATAAAAGCTCAATAGCTTCTTTTCCTTATAAGACTGATGTTTCGTAAGTAAACGATCTAGGTATGAAAGATTTTTTTTATATTAAAGTCATTATAATTGTTTTTCGTTTCCGATTCACTTGAAAGGCTAACTAACATAAAGAGAATCGCAAACTATGGATCGTGGACTGTTTTTATTGGTAACATCTGACTCAGCACTTGCTGGAAGTGAGCGTCTTAGTAAACGAGGGCCGGGATCATTGATATTTCCTTAGGGATAGACAGCAATTACAGATCGTATCTGAACTTGTACCTATATATAGCCAACGTAAGTGTTATTTTTTTCTATCTGCCGGAGCAATTACTGTTTGATATTCGTTAAGTGGATGTTTGCTGAGGTAATTCATATCACTGAAGGATGACATGGCCATCTTAAGTCCTGATTTTCATCCAACGGATTTTTTCCTGTGAAGATAAACCTACTACAATTATTTTTGAAGAACGAATTTATAGAATATACCACTCTCAAGAGATCAGCAAGTTTTCAACGTGTTTAGACCTAGATTTGAGGACTGTTTTCTGCTGGACCTATTTGGTGAGAGATATCTGCCCGATGATGCTATAGAGAAACAATATACCTTTTTATATGTCATTTTGAAGTTATATTTCCTTTTTAGTCTACTCTATATATTAAAGCAGGTAACACTTTATTAAGAAGAAATACAATTGGATGTTTATGTCACCATAACGGTAATGACAGAATAAATCCCAAATTTTATACTGTGCACGTTTTGGCACGGATCGGTTGTGAATATATAAATAGGTACCTATTAACTGTACACACTGCACAATCAATAGCTAAAACAGTTTGAGATTAAAATGTGTAAAGAATCACACTTAATTTTATAAGTCAGTCAGTTATTTTGTCAGTCCTTTTAAATATGTATGTTTAATATCCTAACATAACTACGTAATCAATAACAGTAATTATTTTATTAAAGTATACCTAGAATGTATGTAGCAAGCTTTAAATAATTTATGTTTTTTTTTAAACTCGAAAAAAGACAAAACTGAAATAAAAAGACCTAATTGAAACAGTTGTGGTGTACTGGTTTGAAAGGTTTATACAAACATCGTCGGGGAACATAGTTGTATACATAAAATATAGTAGGTACATATAACGAGTGACGTTGCTGACTGCAAAACGATTATCTGGCCGTGTGTACCAAAAGATATATGATGCAACAATTGGATGTCATTGCTATACTAAGGATAGGATATAAGGATAGGATATATATAGGATATAACATTTAATTATGTAATTCTTATTATAATATCTAGTATAAAATAAATTATTATATTTTTCCTGGAACCTCTGGATGGCCGAGAAACGGACTATATGCAACTAACGCCGTAATAAATATTTTTTTATTTCAATATCAACTTTTCTTATAAAACGTTCCTTTCTACCATGTAACCGCAGTGGACAGTGTTTAAAAGAAATGAAACAAGAATCAATTGATAACAATACAATATATTTGATATTTAAATCTTCACATAAATAATATTCATTTGTTGGACAGTTATTTTATTTATATTTATATAACACATATGTTTTGATGGCATAAATATCACGAGGGTAGGGCCATACCTGAACTTCTGATAGAATAAGAAGATAGGGAAAATCTATGTGGAATACATGTTGTTTTATTTGAAGAAGTTTTTTGTTATTGAGAAAGTAAGTAAATATTATATCATAGTACTTATGATTACACCTACTTTATAACTTCTCTATCATGTGACTAGTGCTACAATAACTTTATTTGAAACGTAAAGAAATAAATGCTTTCCGCATTATTATTTAATAACTATCATAATATTGTCATTAATAACGAACATATTTTTCCTATTCATTCTATACTAATTCGTATTGTGATATATAATGAGAAACTTGGAGACGAATCGCTGTCTATAATTTATCTTTGTCTCGTCTAAATCTATTCTCTAAAACATCTAGTTTATTGCCTTTCTATTTATGGAATTATAATATTTAAAAGTTATGTATGTACCTAAGGTATCTACGTCATATGTAACAACGATATATATTTTAACGAGTAAAATTACTTGTACTATAAAGCAGAATAATTTTCAAAATATAAATTATATATTAACATTGAAATAGAATTTAAAGTAATCATTTTATTCCACCTACTGGTTTAGTTAACTTATTGTTTCTTATTAATAAGATTGTTAACAGGCTATGAATCCTACTTAGATTTCAAATGTTAATACTTAGTATTTTTTTAATTCATTTGATAAAGAAGCAGTTTAATCGATTCATTTAACATCCTTGTTTCATCATGAGATCAGCGAGCTTGAAGATCCTACACCAACTGAACGGATCAGACGGCGGGGCAGAAGATGTTGAGGGTCCTTCAGCATTTGAAGGTGTTGAAGGTGGAGGCTCGGTGTTTGTTGTAGAGTGAGCTGGTGACTTGCTGTCTGATTTTTGTTTTTCAGGTGATTTGCTGATTGCCGGTGAAGTCATCTGTAAGGAAACAAACCAATGTTAATTATTACGTATTATTTCCTTATTTACGTAGTTATAGTTTCTGTCCTTGTTCTTCATTTGATAGAATAACCTTTGTAAGTATATCATACATATTCAGGCTGGTTAACAATTAACCTTTAGCCCAGACACTAATGCCCGCACGCTAGAATTAAACCAATCAATATTCTTTAGGATGCACCGTCAGCATTTAAATTTTTACTGTTTTTCACGTGAATATTAACGTTTACATTATGTTAAGGTTTTAAAAATAACGTTGACACTGCTGTTTTTACGATCATGTAACTAAAAGTTAAAGTTTTCCATTATTCACTAAGTTAAAATAATGCTAAAAAATACTTAAACTTGTAAGAATATTGTAATGAATAAAACAATGACAATATTGAATGTTTTATTTCTGTACTTAATAGGGGGCACGTTTTACGATAGTTTATTATTAAACAATAGATACTTACAGTGATGTTTAAATGTCACAGGTCACTGCTTCCTCGGTGGGATGTCTTCTAAACAAACATTTAATATGTGATCGTAATTAATACAGTTGAATATTTGTATAAACCAAGTTAGTAATGTGTGAGAGACGACGTTTCAGACGGGTTTCGTTACAGTTTATGGTTTGTGTGAAGGTGTCTAACATCAGCGGCTTAATGAGAACCACTCTGTAACTTTAGCAGGTTTGTTTCGTCAACCAAAACATTACAAACCAGTTTTTTTTGTCGTAAAGAATCCATTAATAAAAACAATTAAACTAACGATCTTTGGTTGACATTCAAACTTGCACAAAAGTTACTGAGTTTCCCCTGTTTAAATTCTGTTCAACACTACATAATTTGAGTAGATTATTTTGTATGAATTAAATAAAATTTGCCATATATATGTCCATATGTTTATAAACATATATTGACGCTATCTCAACTATCAATTGGTAACGTTACATTGTGTATTGGACTCGCCGGCCGTGGCCTACATTACACAATCAATTTAGAATTACAACTTATATATGTGCCATAACTATGACCAAGGTATTCTTGTTATGATAATCATTAAACATATATAAAAAAACACGTTTAAAATACAATTTTTTTATCAATTTGTTAAACATTTTTTAATTAAAGCAGTCATTAACGTCTATTAATGATGCAAATTTCAGTCATTAGTTGTTTTCTATTTAAAAAAATGTATAATGAAGTTGTCTATTATGTATTACGGAATAGTTTTTGTTGAGAGTGTGTCAAGTCAGTACAAAACAAACATTACCAACAAATATTATGTAAGAGTCGAGCTTGTTTACTATAAGATGTGTGGGTAGGTGTTATATGAAACACGTGTAGCGAATGATTTGAAGAAATTATAGGATAAATGAATAAAAATGATTAAGTTTAAAATACAGGTACATATTCAGTATTAATGCTTTTTTTTGCGGTCATTACTTATGCTTTATATAATATTGGAAGGAACGTAAGTCTTGAAGTTCAGTATTTTTGTAACGTCAGCAAATCGATTTGAAACTATATAAGATATAATGTAGGGCGGTATGTTTATATGTAGGTCAATGACCCAGAGTTGTGGGCGGGTGATGTTCGGTGACCTAGTTACTGTTAGCTACATAAACATACATACACCGCCATACGTGACACGACATGACATTAAATACATACAATTTTATATTAATTATACTAAAACACGCTGAAAAATTACTAAAGTCAAAAAATGTTCTGTACAGAATACGAAATTTTAAATAGGTCAATTGTTTCAAGAATGTGTAGAATATAGAAATGTTAATTATATAATAAACTTACCTTATTTAAAAAATGTATGCAAATGAATATATAAACACAAAATTTAAAATAGTTCACACGAAAATAAAAATACGTATTATTTGTGGAGACAGCGGAGCGCGCGGCTCGACAGTCCGCTACAAAGTTCCGACAGATTTGAACGAAAGAACGCTATGATTTTTAGGAAACTTGTTATGATAGAGTTCCATCTATAGATTTATATCATAACATTTTATTGCAGAATTAATTTCATAAATATCGTTTCATTTTAGAAACTAAGATAAAATATTTAGAAACAGTTCATTTAAGATAAACAATTTATTTTGATGTAAATAAATTTTACTATAAAAAGATAAATAAAATACAAATGTTTCCTTTATTTCAACTCTGAAGTATATTTTATTGCGATTTCTCTAAATAGGTCAACTGTAGTCATTAAAAGGACCGAGTTTGTCTGTTTATACAGTTTTGGAATATTTTATTTTTTCCTCTCTAAATAAAAAAATTAAATTGTATTGGATAGAGGGAACTATGTAAATATTATTGTATTTCCAGTGTAGGTACATATATGGTTTTTAAAACATGGCGAACAAAGTATAGAATTAAGCATTACTGAATAAATGAGGTGATAGATAAAAATATAAGTACATAGCATATAAATGGTTTAGAATGAAATTGAAATGAACATGCTCTTAAAATAAACTAATATGTCACTTAAGCGTACTCAAATTGTAGCTTTAGTAAAATGAACAAGCAAATAAAGAATATTTCTCTGTTATAAATGTAATACAATTTGTTTCAGCTCAAGAATGAAAAGGGCTGCGACCTCGATCCTAGACGATCCAGTAAATACGACTTCATCGCACTGCGGGAACCCGTTGTTGCGTAATGTTTTATGTAGCTATAATACATATAGCGATGATAATCTATGTATAATACACATTAATGATGATTAAAGATGACTTGTATGAAAACATGATTGGGTTAAATGAAATCGTGCCGATGCTATGTATTGATGTAAATATGAACATGTCGAATAGATGATTTTCATTCAATCATGCAGTTTTACCTTCGGTTTTTTATGTATGATAGAGCTTATAATCAATATATCGATGTTAGTTGATAGCTCTGCGTCAAAACAAACACCTTTATTATGTTTTATTAACGTAACGACCGTTCAGGGTGACGGGAGGGTTGACTGTGACGTATCTTTCTACAAAACGCGCCATGCGCAATCACAATCTGAATGGCAACCGTAGTGTGTTATATTATTTGTATTTATTATTTTACTTTTCCCTTCTTACTTCTATATGGTTTTTGTAAAAATTAAACTGATTTGAATGAAATCTTAGTTAGGAGAATCCCTGTTTCCATTATTATAATACCTATAAAAAATCTGAAGGTTTATTTTACTTCACTTTATAAAAGGGACTTAATACGTAAGCAGTATCTTGGTAAATGATGATAAGATATATTCATTTATTATATTTATACTATGACTGCAGAAAATTTATTGTGAATAATCCTAAAAATATAAACAGAATTAAAGAACTGTCATAATATAGGAATATTTTAAGAAGGACGCTATCTATATTATTTTATACACTTAGAAAAAGACAACTAGTGCCCTCTTTTGGAATATTGTTATACTGTTTGTTTTTTAAATGGTGTAGTTTTACAATTTGTTTTTCTTGATTTGCAGAGATGTCGCTTACGTAAATTACCAAAGCGGTTATAATAATTTAATAATCTTTTCTTTATAAGGTTACTTGTTTTTTATTTATATAAAAATGATTATTTCTTAAAACATTCAAGTAAATCTATTATAATGATACAAGATTACAAGACGTTATAAGCATATATAACTAGTGATTAAATTTACGTTTTAAAATAGTTTAATTTCATTTGAGGGAGAAGCAACTACGTAAAAACTTAATCAACGTGAAAAAGTACCATTAAGTACATACTTTATAGAATACTTTAGGTATCAATATAATTCTTCCATTAAATTAACCGTAATTCAGTATATCACTTTCAACTCTTTCTTTTAATTTTCCCTTCTTTTATAATATAATAACACGTAAATATCCTCAGTATCTACGTAGAAGGATATTATCCCCAAAATTTAAATGATTCATCCCATAATATGAGTTCTCACTCGTAGCGACCTATAATTTGAATTTTAAAATGTTTCAAAACACGATTTCTGAGAGCTTAGGACGACTTTACACTTGATTTATAAGGCAGGTAAGAGGGGAAAAATTCAAATTTTCCGGGGGCGGGTAAAGTTTACACATTTGAACAGCTCGCAGTAACTGCTTCCATCCGTCTGTGCATAGAAATTACTTATTTTCATATAAGTACATTACCCATAATTATTGAATATTTACAAGCCATATTTTAAGAGCAAAGAAAATTTTGTATAAGTACATTCTAAATAATGATTAACAAAGTATGTTAAGTTTGTATAGCTATGAAATTTATTGACTTCAAATAATTTCTATTTCTTCTATGGTTTTGTTACATAAGGATATTCTAGGTATATTATTATACATATACAGATGCACTAGGAGGAAAACTGTATTCTAAGTTATTGACATATAATGTTACTGGGATAGAATGATAAGTAAATATTTCACTTTTACGGCAATCTGAAATGTCTATGATGCCTTCACAAAACAAAAGAAAAAAAATCATTTTAAATTCTTAAGCAGATTCAAATAGGATGATTTGTCAAGATATTATTTAGATTGATATTGTGGTCACACGGCCTTGGGGCTTGGGATCAGCATCGTAAATACGAGTTTACAATGTCATACTTAGAAGTTAAAGTCAATATTTTACATTTATATATTGTGGTTGAAACTAATACGTGATATGTTCTACGACTGAAACACCTTGAAACAGTCTGGTTGATGATAGAATACTTGTAGTTATAAGTTGCTATCGTAAAACTAATACTCTTTAAGTCTTGTTATCATAATGTGTATATCGTATCGAAGTAGACAGAATACTGGAACCGGCAATGTTTAACTTGGCGAAGAAAACTTGCAGCTGGAAAACAAGAAATTTCAGACAATTTTAGTATAAATAAACAAAATAAGTCTGATTTATGAAAACATGGTTATAACTTATAAATTTCAATTCACATTCAATCATACGATTTTTCAGATAATATTCTAAATCCATTAAAAAAGGCAGACAGACGGAATTCAATTGCGGGTCAGACACCCGGAGTAAGCGAAAATATGTGCTTATTGTAGTGTATGATATGATCTGGCGGGAAGTTGTATGAGAGTTACATTAAAATAATACGATAGAAAACATAAAACTCACAGAGACATGCCAATTTAATAAAAAAACAATAAACTGTTAGTACTTACGTGCGAACAAGCAACGTCGTCTATTGCTGATCTGAAAATTTCATAATATTTGATTTATATAGAAGAAATGCACTAATAATTTAAAATTTCTCAGCAATAGTCAATTATTCCGAATCACAGAAGAATGATTTTTTTTAGTTTTCAATGAAATCGTACATTAAAACCTTACAAAGTCTAATTAGTAGTTAATTTAGCGTGAAAGACTGTTAGATTCATATTTTATTAATGAAGGGGAACCATCTGGTGTATTCTGTATTGCTTATTGTGATTCCAAGCATGTAGTTTAACAAACATTATTAATTTCTTATTAATATATCATAAAACGAAAATAATTCCTATTTCATGAGCATATATACATATGAGTATTGTAAGTCTTCATTAATAAATATAATTTGTAATAATATGAATATGATTTTACTTTATTATGCCAAAGCTTTGATTTATTGTTTTCGTCATAGAATACGTTACATTAGTTCCTATGTATATAACAGTAACTCGTTCAAAAGGTATAAACCCTTACAATCTCTTTCCAAAATTACAAATGCCGCACGAGCGTGTAATAGGAAATGTTGAAGTACGTCTCTAATTGGGGTTGCCGCAGTTTATCTGGAGGTCCGGCCGGTTCACACGGCTCCGGCTGTAATAAAATAAACAGTTTTCGATTCGATGTTCCATCTTGTCTCTTCGTATTCCGAAGGCAGCTTTCATTTTCCAGAAAAACACATCGACTATCTCTGGTGGCTTGCAATTCAATGAAAATACAAAGTCATTGTGCCGCATAGCGTCAATTTTAGTATAAGTATGATATCTCCTTCCTTAACATAGAATATATACATATATAAAGTATATATTGTTCATATTTTTGGCTAAAATCCTTGTTCTTTATATAGATATAATACATAGCTGTCAATACATTCTTTGTAACGAGGATGTTTTTGTGTTAGGAACATAATTCAAGAAGTTTTTTTGCTCTCGTCTCCGTTGGGACCAAACGTCAGTGATCCACAACACCTAACAATATTATCCGCTTGTCAGGCGAAATGTTTCTTCTTCGATTTTTGACTTTTCCTTTATTTATTTAACAGGATTGTTGGCTTTATGGAATAAAGTATGTAGGACAAATTTATAGATGCTTTATTGAAGTTTCGTAGAAATGTTTTCAATATACCATTTATTAGTTATCGACGTCCCACGCAGCAGTGCAGAGAACAATAAAAAGTATTTTAAATATATTTTATTTTATTTTGTATTGTATGAGGATCCTTTAAAGTTAATTCTTCATTGTTTATCAGGTGGCCGGTGTCCCAAACTAATAAGTAAGGGTCGCGCGTCTGTAATGACTACGGAATTGGGATTTCCATCGAACTAACATTTGCGATTTGACCTAAAAACAGTAGGTCCCTCATCTAATCCTAATTTGTTAGAGGATTTGATCCGGGAGCGAATTCATTAGTAAAAGCGAACTTGGGGGCAACCACCGTCGCTTGGTTCAGAACTTTGAACATACGGACGTACAAATTGTTTTGGTGGTTATAGTGTGGCCGCTGGAGACTTAAACCTAAACAAATATATTATATTAAAAAAACTTATTATTATAAACAGAAAGTTTTATTTCAGACATATTTTAACTTAATGTTACGAAGTAAAAGCAGTTGTTTTTTATTTACACTTTTTATATCCAATTCTTGAAGTGTTTCAGAGATTGTAAGCTTGATTTGAGTTTTTTGCTATTAGAGCACCTTCGGGAAATATTTAGCAAAATGTACAAAGGGATGGTAAAGTAACAAATTCTCGGTATGCATTGAAGAGTTTAGTAAAGTAATAAAAACAAAATGAAAAGAAAACCGTCAATGGTTATAGAGCAGCTACATTGTTTCGTACATAGCTTACATAAAGATGGTAGTAATCTCCGAGGGTACTTACTAAGATCGGCAGTGGTAGACGACGCTGAACAAACATGTAACTTGTTCAGTATTTTAGCTTCGCAGATATCGTTTTATTCTATTATCCTTATTACTGGTAGCAGTCTTTAAGAATGGATCTGCGTACCCTTTTTGCTGAATATATTAAATAGTATATACGAATGTAAGAAAAATAAAACTTTCATAATAAAATAGTAGAAAAAGTAACGTTATATGTTATAGAATCAATTACCTTTTATAAAATATCGCTAGTTTTGCACCTATCTCACAGGGCGGCGTAGCATCTCGGAAAATATGAAAATTGGAAACACGCTATCGATACGAGTCAAATAAATTAAGACCCTATTTGTAAGACCGTCTACATATCACGATAAATGTTACTTTTTCACGGGTCTCTTTATGACGTGCTTGATGGGACCAATTCATACGGGTTCAATATCATTTTCTATTCAATTAAATAAATTTCTTTGAATGATATAAATATTCGCATTTAAATGTAACACAACGGCTTAAGTTAATGTCTTTGTATAGGTTAAATCTAAATTATATTTAAAGGTTTGTTTTCGCATTGGATTATTTAAAACGGTTTATAAAATTACATATGAATTATAATGAATTAAGAGAAGAATTTCAAGTTTAATAATTTCGACTTTCATTTAAAACTCTACTATGGTATAGCAAAATTTCAAAATATTGACTATAACAGGATGTAAGTATACTTGTTTACAATATTAGCTAATAGCTATCTGAACTTTGGCAGATCAGTTTCAAGCTGAACTACTTCTTACACACATCCCTATTTACTGGTCGGATTATAAAACTTACTAATACTTAGATTTATGTAACTGTTAGGGTGTATGGATGGAAGCAGATACAAATAATAGCATAGATTTGGTAAATTCTAACTAAGAAATTTATTTTAAAGACATTTTGGTAAATAATATTTTATTTGTGATATAATAATATTGGTTACGTACTAGTTAGGTTTCTAGAAATAATCAAAATGATTTATTTCATGCTGAAAATATGAAGGTTCAGACATCAAAGAAGCACGGCTGTACTGAGACAGCCTTCTGTTATTATTAAAAGCATTATTGTTATTATTATCCTGGAAATACTTTCTGTGTTTTAAAAACAAAGGATTCATTTCATTTTCTAACAAAAGCTGTGCCGATGGTTTCTGTGAGAGAGCGCCGGTTTTCGTTTGTCTCTGATTAGCAACTCCGTAGCGTAGTTGATTATAATTCAGAGGATCGCTTGCGAAATATGTGTTCCCGACAGACGGATTTTTTATTAATTTTATTTCGGGAATTTGTCTCGCGCGTTGCTTATTTTCCATCGGATTTTGATTAGGTAAGTTTAAAATTTTTTGAACGCTTTGCACGCGAAGTGTTTTATCATTATCTGCTGGGTTATTGTTTGTTATGACTTTCGCTTCATTAATATTCTCGTCTTTTTTCATTAATTCCGGTCTGTTTATTTTTCCAGATATTTTAAACTCCTGAGGCCACAGCTTTATGTCGAGGTTCTTATTTGATGGCACTATATCTCCAACATTGATTTCTTTCCGTTGCATATCCATTTTTGCTGCTTCCATTGCTTTTACGATATTTTCTATTTCTTGTAGACTTAACGCCGGCGCTGTGGATGCCATGATTTCTACTCTATTTTCAATGTTGAAAAGTATTTCGTTGCTTTTCTTTAAATATTCAAATTTGTTTCTATTCGCGTTGAGAAATGTTAATGGTGATCTAACGGATCGTTCCCAAAATGATTGAGCTGAATTTTTATTGAAGTATGGGTCAGTGTTAAGTTTGTCGTTGGCTTTTTCCATTTCAATGTTGACTTGTTTATTCTGTGCGTCGATTCCCCTTATCATGGTTGCAATTTGTCTGCCTAAGTTGGTATAATATGAATCGTCAGGTTGTTTATCATTGTTTCGATTTGATCTTCGTTTTTCGAATGCATTCAGAGGAGTGTCGTAATATTGATAATAATTTTTATTAACCTTCGGTTGATAGACTTCAATACTGTCTAAGGGATTGTATTCGATGGGTGGTAGTAGATCGTTTGTTTTATTTTTTAAATCAACTCGATGTATGAGCTCTGTCATGTACTTGAAATCAACATTCTCGGGTACAGACGCAGGGTCTTCTTGCCACGGATTGTATTGCATGTCGTTGTTGTTAACATCAACTGGTATCGTATTGTCGAGGAGAGGAACTTCAGCATCGTCATTCATAAATGGTGTTTTCTTCATCTTTTTATGTACTTGGTCTGTCATAACCTTCGGTAGTTTCTTTACTTTCGCTTGAAGTCGCTGTAACTGTTAAAATTATGAATAAATTTGTATTTTCAAAACATATTTATGGCAATGTTTTAATACCGTACAATTTTTTGACGTCCGTTCGTCTTCAACTTATTTAACCTGTGAAGAGTTAAATGTTATTGTTGTTTTTAGATTATTTGAATAATGTTATATTTATATTTTATATGTAATGATTTACCCAAGTTTTATTTGCTGATTTTTAATGCGTTGTCCAGGGTTTTTTCTTTTTCTTTGGCGTTGTACGGCTCGACTGAAAGTGAAAGTTAGATTAAGGAAGACATATTTATCTTTTGATCCTTAAAGCAGTTGTTATTTACAGTGCATTTGGTTTAGGTGTTTCTGTGTCTGTTTTAGTTATCTCAGTAGCAGTAGCCTCCGTCTGTCCTGCCTCTGTTTCTGTTTCTTGTGGAACAGCTTCCGTAGTTTCCTCCAATGTAGTTTTTGAGGTATCCATAGATTTTGTTGTGACGCCATTAGTGGTTGAAGGTATAGATGAGGTTTCACAGTTATCTGAAAAATATTCATCGAGTTTTTATTACATTATTTTTTTTACTAAGGACGAGTTGTTCTTATGCATATTTCTTTTATTATAAGCTGTATTTATATAGTATTGTCGCATATACTATTGAAATAATCACTAACCTGGAATAGGGAGTAATGGAACAACTGGAGGTACTGGAACCATTGGGTACATGGGAACTATAGGTGGCGGCGGTAATCCTATAGGTGGATAAAACGGTGTATCTACATTTGGCAAAAAGATAAAGCTCGGTAAAGGCGGTTTTGGTTTCTTATTGATCATAACGATCTTTTTATGTCCGTGTTCATTATCAGTGTCATGAAAGTCGTCTTTCTCGTGGAATTCATCAGACGATACAGATTCTGAACTGGATCCGCTGGAATCGGAGCTTGAACTCGACGATATATCAAATAAACTATCATTCTCATTAATACGCAGTAAGTTCTTCTTCTTCTTACTCCTGCTTCTTTTCCTGTATTTCTTTTTTCCCTTACTCCATTTATTCGTTCGTTTCGGTTTCTTCATCTTGTAATTAGATCCGCTGCGCCTTGTTAATGTTTCTTTTTGATTTGTATTGTTAACAACTTGGCTTTCTATTGTTTTGAAAAACTGATTATATAACCAGTCGCCCAAGTCGTCGGCGTCCTTGGCTATTTCATTGACATGGCTATTTATATTTTTGCCAGTAGTTGTTTCAGTATAGAATGCATCAGGAGGAGTAATATCAATCTGAACCCGCGTCGGTTCACCGATATAATGGCGTCTATGGTGTTCCAATAACTTAGAACTATAAGCAAAAGATATAAAAAATAACATTGATTTTATTGGATTATTAACAAATAAATATATATTATACATATAAATAAAAAGTATATAGTAAATATAAATACTTAGGTTCGCATATTTTTGTATCTGTATCAAAGTAATATCCCGGATGACAATGACAGCCGATGACGCAGCCCGGTATTTCGTCGATGCAGTATTCGAATCTGCCGTGCTCTCCGCATTCTGAAGAAAAAAAAAAACAAAACTATGATTCTTAATGTAAATTTCAAATATTACTCAAGTTTTTATATAAAGAAATGTTGCCAAGATATTTGGAGCATATTTAAACAAGCCTTACATCAATATGGAATGAGTAGTTCCAAATAACAACTTCCATTCAACACAAAACAAGTATATGAATAGAATAATAAAATTATTTATTACATACCATACGTCGAGTCCGCTACAACAGAACGTTGTAGTAAAAAATAAGCCAGTAACAAAATCAGTGAGTTCCACATTTGTGTTTCTCAAACACGAGAAATATGAAACATCAAATCATTGTTTTAAATATTCAGTCTATTGTTATATTTTTTTAATAATGTTTTCACCAAAAATATTTTATGTTGATAAAAACGTTGTATTTCAGTATAAGTAACGTGAAAACTAGGCGATAGGCGATGGAGAACAATAGTTCTGCCTCTTTTGTACTTATTGGTAGTAAAACAATGTTGAACCGCAAAACAAATAAATGATTTATATTTTTTGTATAAAAGTATCATTTGGTTTAAATGTTTTGGAAGAAAATATCATTCATGAATAAAAATCTTTTATTTTTATTATTAATTTAAGAAATACGAAAATATTTAACACTTGAAAGTTTAATTTCGCTTGTTCATTTTCTACGTATCATCGCCGAGGTCTGGAATGCCTTTTAGGCCTCTGGAAATGTTAGAAAATATATTACTTATCTCAATAAGTGTTTAAACATTAAATGGTCTAAATAAAGAGCAATTAGGTACTAGTCTTTATACTTTGAGCATTCTTCCGGTAGGACGCATTTGTGTGTTCTATCGTCTCTAACATATGGTTGAATGCAGATGCATCCCGGTTCACAGAAGGGGTAGCAGGGATGCAGCCTCTCACGAGGGTTGTCACACGTCACCGCGGCACAACCAGCGAAGCACGGCTCGTATCTAACACAAATTAAATTTAAATTCATTCACTGAGCCGAATGAGAGTATCATTAATAAAATTTGAATACCTCTCATGTACTCGCTCGCAAGTCATTGTAAACGCTGCTTTTTTATCCGGTTCTTTGTCACTGAAATGTGTGGCATAATTTACTTTTTATTTCATCAAAGGAAATTGTTTAGTATAAATAAAGTTTAGTTGTAATATTTACGAAAAGGACGGTTGATGTCCGACTTCGGCGCTTCTTGTTTTATGCATCAAATTTGTTTTTTCAGTGTCGTCGTAGCGTCTTTGTCCTCTATATAAAGACTCAGAGCGGTCCACATCCTGTCTCTCCGGTCCTCCAAAGTATTTTGCATCTGGTTCATCTAAATATTTCGGTACTTCATGTTCATATCTCCTATCGTCCCATTCTTTGTGGTCTTGATCGTATGATTTCAACAGTGCTTTCTTCCTCCAATTTCGTCTTTCATCGACAAAAGAATGTCTCTTCATACCTTCAGGATCGTCATAATCGTAAATCCTATTTGCATCACAAATATCGTCTGAAAAATAAATCAAAACTTTCATCTTAATATATCGACTAAGTAATTAAAAGGTAAATAAAAACGAATGTATTTGGGAGAGCAATTAAATCAACATTAATTGTTATTTGTAGGGATAACTTATAAATTACCACTTACAAAGTAAAAGTGCCAAAAGTAATAAATTGCGCATTTTATTATCCAATAACCGTTCTGTCCATTATGTCTGCAAATAACTTCAGTTTTCCGCTTTAATTACGACAAATTATTGTACTCCTAATCAGCTCAATTTGCTTGATTGTTTGATAAAAGAACTAAAACGCGGCGGATGTGTTGTTTTACAATCGTAAAGGGCATTCCGCTGTTATTCTTAAAGAGAATGTTATGTTTTGAAAGTCATAAAACAGGTTTAATCTTTGTATTTCTTATTTGGTTTTATATACTGTTTTGGTAGGTAAATATATATTTTTGTTATAATTAAAGGAACATGAAATGAAAGCACATTTACATTCATAATAATGTTATTATTTCATCATATACTTTTGGCAGGTATTGTTTGAGTGTCACTCAGTAAAGTTTTTCTTGGTTGTAATGCTTTTATAGGTGGCGGGGCGATGACGATGTTGAAGTAATTCCCCATTCTTGATACCTCCGCTGCTCGTCTGAAATCCTCCATGTGACTCATACTAGCATCTGTGTCACTAATCTCTTGTAAATTATCCCTTTTAATGTGACTCCTTGGTAATCTTCCAACCATCTTCGCTGGTGGGTTCCCTGGTTGACCAGATCTCTTACTAGGTACGGGAATACCCATTTGTGTCCTGAAATAAATTTGCAAGAATTAATTTCGTTATAATAAAATTGGAATGATTAAACTTGTCTTAAATGTTTTATGTCTCAGTAAGGGACTGTGAATTAGATAAGTTAATATTAATGAAATCATTTTATTTTTATTATCCCTTACGTTTATGAAAAAAATCATAATGAAAATCGTAAATACTATCATATTATAAGGAAAAATACATGAAGTCATGAATCTCTTCAAGTCTGTGTCATTTCAAACAAGACCTATACAATGTCCAGTTATAGTTAAATTGTAAAATTTTTCTACGAAATGGTATCTAAAACTTTGAAACATCGCCTGTAAATATCGAAGTAGTGGATCAAAAACATACGGTGAACAATCCTGTGGTAGAACGCACTGGTGGGTGCGATCGTCACGGACGTAAGGCTCCTCACACACGCAGCCTGGCTCACAGTACGGGTAGCAGGGACGGAGGTGGTTGCGAGGGTTGTCACACGAGATCTCGGCACAGCCCCCAAAACACGGCTCGTAAATCTCATTTGGCCAATAACATGCTAAATACAATAATAATAATCAACAGTTTATATTTATCTACCAAATAAATCTAGCTGATTAATCTATGTATATTTCTTTAAATAAAATCTTGAGGTTATATGCCGAACATTACTCATAATAAACGTCATTGAATATTTTTAATTTAGTTTCATTTAAATTACGAAAACCTGAAACATATTTACTGTTTAAACAATAGCAGACCGTCCGTTCTTAAACGTGAGAGGTACACTTAATAAATCTTAGAGGAGGTAGCAATCCTTAAGTTTCTGTGTGGTAGTTTTCACAGATCCATTACAGCTCCCTCGTGGCTATTCATGGTATAGATTAACCACAATTCTATCCCCATTCCTTTAAAAAACTCTTATCCACATCTCATCGACCCGATTTATACTCGACATTAATTTATACTAAACTTCAATACCTTTGGCTATTTTATCCTCGTCCCTACAATCACATATTAACGGAGAAGTTACAAGCACAAAATATATGTACGCTTTCATGTTATATGATTTCAGAACTGATTTTAGATTTCAGAGCACGTATTATTAAACGGCGTGTTAATAAAAAGTGAATTTAAAATTGTATTTAGTAAGGATGAAAATCGTTTGATGCGAGTCGTAATTAGGATGCGATCTGTTTTGCGGTAGGATGAGGCTGTCATTGCAGCTAGAAGGTGTTTTGTAAACAGGCAAGGGCCGGTTAAGCCATGCTTGATTGAATTATAGCTCGTGTACCTGTTCCTGGAGAGGTCACGTGCCCCAAATACTCCTTTATTAATAATATAATTTAGTAGCGAAATTTATAACACGATATGTTAGTAATAAACATTTTGAGCATAAATTAACGTTGAAAATTTCCTGCGAAACTTCAGTTTAAAGTTACAATATTAATTAAGTAGTTTTCACCCATATATATTATGTATGATTGAAACGGGATGAAGTTTTGGTTTTAATTTAATCATTGTATTGAGCAGATATAACGGGAAAACTCAATAAAAATATTAATTTATTTTTTATAAGATTATCTAATAAACATTTTATTTTCTGCAATATATTAAAATATATGTTTTATTCGGTAACAAACATTTATTAGGTATGTGTTGTTCAGTGATGCGAGCGAGCAATATTTTACGAACCTTATGGCGCCGGGTCGGACCGTGTCAAAAAAAAACGCGACACATGTTAAATCATAAATGGTACATTTTATTCATTTCCTTTTAAAAGTTTCTATAAAATATAATATATTAGAATTAATGTATCTATAATAAACCGAAAGAATCGTTACTTATAAATAAATTAAAAACCTTAGACATCATAAATAACATATTATTATAGCACTATAATAACTTATTCCTATGATACGTAACACTGTTTCTCTAGATAATTGGCCTTGTGTTCAATATTTAATTACTAGATCGTGTAGTGTCTTATAGCATATTAATTTCTATATTCAGTGAGACGTGTTTATTATAAATAACTTCGCTACAAACACGAGGTAAGTATATCGCTGAAGTAAAAACAATGTATTTATTCAACAAATATATGCATATTATCAACTGGAACTATTAAACAATTTATTTTATTTAAGACGTACTTATTTCAAACTCTTTCCTAATATATAAATGTGGGATAAAGTGATAAATGTTCGTTGTATCCTAACAAACAGCTAACTAAAGTTGTTCTCGTAAAGTTTTGTATCGGCTCGTGTTATTGTTAACAGGGCGTTTTATGTAGCTGAGGATATTGAAGAGTTTTATATAAACGACGCGGAAGGAAAATCCGTCTCAGGAACATCGCCCTTCATAAAATATGATTGCGTGTGATATTTTATTGAACGTTTTTAGTAAACCCTGTCTCATGAACTTCTGCTATTACACGTCACATAGTAAATCGAGAATGTCGTTACAATTATGTATTGTCTTGTATTAAGTCAGAAAATAACTGATTTATAGATAACATTTTTAGAATTTTTCATAAGTAGGAACATACGTATTGATGATAATGATTTATAATATATATTAATTTTAGTAGAGAGAATTTTCGTATGATATAAAAATAGATAAAAATATATATCTGTACCTAGTCTTGCTATTTACGTGAGTAAATTCTCACCGTGTGATTCTCAGTTATTTGTGGTATCTTGCTCCGGTTGATTTGAAAGCTTTTCGTATTTCACGTATCCTGTATTTATATAAATTGTAATACATTTTTTTTAATATATATTGTAACATGAGCTCGTGACTGGAATAAGGAAAACGAACTGTTGACCTTAACATACATTCTATTGGCGATCCATTTTGGTATTATTTTGGGTATTTTTTTCATATTACACTGTATTGTGTGGTAATAGGATTGATTTTCAAATACTCTCGTCGTGTATAGGTAAGGTGTTGACTAAGCAGGCTGTACGGTCTCCAGGGTGTGTGGGGTCCAATATAAGGGCGAAGACCTGCGAGTCTTCATGATTACTGATAGTAAATAAGACGTGCCTGGAAAGATCACATCTTCTATATTGTCCCAAGACGACCTTTCGCCGTCTCAAGGGCATATTTGTCAATAAGACTTAATTAAGTCTGCATTAGCAATAATTATTACCAATAAATAACCCATTCTCGATGATAAATTGGTATAAAAACTTAATGTGATGGTATATGACTAGAATTAATGTTGATATTATACGTACTTAAAAATAAAAATTACTTTGTAATGTTTATTGCAATATAACGTAAATATTGTGAGCATTTAAAAAAGGATAAATTTTTCAAGGTTCTTTGATGATTCGAAAGTTTCAAATATGTAATTAATATTCTTAAAAAAAAAAAATCAAGAATAAATATTTATTTATGTAACACTTTAAAAGTTTTGTAAGATTCCTGTATTCTGCATTTTATGTCAAGGTAAGTATTTTATTTACAGTTGGAAGACAACAGCTTTAGGTAGTTTACATTGACTGTTCTGTTTTCGGATTTTTTTTAAAACAAATCTTACAAATGATATTTCATAACAGATAAGTTTTTTAATTCAAATATCCCTTTAACTTGTTCTGATATAATAAAGCTATTTTCTATCCTTACTTTCGTTCTCTTGAACCTAGGAAATTTTTTAAAACAAAGAAAAAAACATGTTCTATTACAAAAAAACAGGAACTATCCAACAGCTTCATCTATTTTCAATATTCTATAACTTCATATTAAATACAATTGTTTTCACGTATTTCCGAAAGATTTAATTGCTATTTCAAAATAAATTATCGCCTTCCTATTAAAATAAATGACTTTTGTTTTCTAATGGCAAAATGAAAGTTGAGTTTCACTGAAAACAATTAGCAATTTTTAAAAGAGTAACTAGCATTTAAACATACTTTCACTCATTAATATTTATAAGGTTTTGTAATTTTAGTGTGACGATCATAAAACATAATATTGCATACAAATTTAGTTAATTTTATATTATTTAAGTACTATCTGAGTATCTGATGTTGTAGTAACAGGTATTCACCAGATTAAATAATAAAAAATGAATTAGTCTTACAGTTTACCTCTCCGCATCTCGACTGGCAAGATTGATGTGATTGCTTGAATATTAGATTAGGAAGGAAAGGTTTAAGTGTGTATATATATGGAAAAATATACTTTATGATAATACTTAGTTCATCTGAAGTTATGTTTATAGAACGGTTTCGTCTACATATAAAATAAGAATGAACTCTTATAGATGTATAGTTTTTTATTCATATAATGAATTTGTGTCATGGCGTAGTAAGTTTAAATATTTCAACTTGTTGTTTTAAGATATATTATAGTAGTTAACGACAAAAATCTGTGAGAAAGTGTTGGTTTCATGTACAAGAATATTTTATTGGCTGATATTATTGTTTTCTTCAATAAAACATGTTAATTTGTCACTTAAAATTTAAAATAAAATGATCAGTTACATAGGACTTTCTAATTCAAAATTGGAAATAGGTAAAATATTGTAAAAAATAAAAGTTTTACTCTTAATGTATTTGAAAACTAACACAACATATGTTTCATTATTGAGATTTTACAAAATGAATATTTTTTTAAACTGTTGATTATAAGGTAGGGACGTGTTTGTTTTGATACAGTTAACTGCTATTAAAATAAACTACAAAATACAAATACGTTTTTATTTCTGAATAAACAGGAAATGAAATAGACAATAGTAAGTTATCATTTTGATTCCAATGTATGGATATTAACATAAATTAGAAAAGTTGAAACGCTTATATGATTATATATTTTATGTTCAGTATAGGTCTTGATAGCCAGGCGAGATCAAGCAAAAAAATTTATGTTTCTTTTCAATATAACAACAGATGTTTAAAGTAGAAAGATCTCATTAATATAAAAATTATAAACCCAACTTATAGCTATAATAATTGTGTAAGAACATTACGGTCGCGAGTCCTCGTAAATTTAGGTATTGTTATAATTAGAACGGCATCCCGAAGCTAACATTGGATATATTTCATAGATTAGACTAATGTATAATGAAGGCTTAAATATGCAGACTACTGACAACAAACCCCAAAATCTCCTTATCTATTACGTGCTTTCCACTAAGAGTATCCTTCCAAAATTACAATTCCTTGCCAGCGTAAGCCGATTTAAAATTACATAATTAGAAAGAAGTTTATCTTGAGGAAACTAATGTCTCAGCTTAATGAGGTACTCGCAATGTGTACGTAAAATATAAACATATACAATAGATGTTTTATGTAATTATTTATATCTCATAATACATATTTCCTTAGGATTGAATGTCACGTTTGTGTACAAAAGACGCATCTATTTTTCTTTTATCACAATAGAACAACAGAAACGTATCAGTTTACTAATTGTCCTTACTTTTGATATTAAATTATATTAATACCTTTATAAAGAGGCCGAGGTTACAGTTAAAATTGCCAACTGTTTTTTAATATTAATATATTAAATAATAATGGCTAATAAAATAATGATTATCTTTATAAAAATTAATAACTAATATTTCTGACATTATAGATGTATCTGGAAAATTTATTAAATTTACCGATTTTATAAACAAAATATTACCAAGAATGTTATATAAAAGCATTTTTTTTGTATGTACTTACTACTTTATTCTTAAGGTATAAACTGGCTAAGTTATTATCCTGACGTTTGTAGGAAGGAAGAGATAACGTTATGTTAGTACATCTTCCCCACAAAGACAGAATTTTCAGGTAAAACTGCTAAGAAAACACAATCCCAACGAGTCTCTGCGGGACTTTTGCAAGACAGAGATATTTTGTTTATATTCTCTCTAAAACCTGATACAATGCTTCAGATATTTTAATGTTCGTTCCTTTATATTTATGAACCATTCTATGTTGGATAAGACAAGAGAAAACTCAATTAAATGGACCAACCCCTCTTTGTTTCCTTTATTTAACATTTTAACAAAGTAATTTTAATGAGATTTAACTACAAAAACCACACTAGAAAATAGCTTTAAATATATAAGCATAAATAATATAAGGCATGTATGTACTGAAATTAAAGTACAGGTTTTCCAAGGTGCAGCCCGCAGTCGATGAGGTGTGTGGCTCCTGTAATACTGCTAGCATAGTCGCTAGCAAGAAAGACTACCAACTTCGCTACATCATCACTTGTGGCTATCTTCTGCAATGGCATCGCAGCGCCCATACTGGCGTAAGCATGTCTGTTCGCTTCTTCATCTAAACCAGCGCGACGAAACAGTTCCGTAGCAATTGGACCCGGATTAACTGAATTAACTCTCACTCCTTTATCAGCTAGCTCCAACGCCGCGCACTTGGTCAGCATGTCAACCGCTGCTTTCGTCATGCAATACGCCGTCAGTGATGGTATTGCGTTGGTTGATAAGACACTTGATACGTTCACAATATTTCCTTTCGTTTCAATTAAATGCGGGATCGCTCGTTGCGTCAACATATATGTACCTCGGACGTTAACAGCTGATACTTTATCGTAATTCGTGATGCTGTCCCTAACACCAGCCATAACCAGTCTCCCCGCGTTGTTCACCAGAACGTCTATCTTCCCGTAATGCTCAATTGTGTCCTTGATGATGCGATCGATGTCATCTTCTTTGGTTATATCAGCGACCACTGTCAGAGCTCCAATCCCACTGATTCGTTCGCATTCATCTTTTGTTTCCTTCAAGTTGTTAACATTACGACCGACCAGTACCAATTTTGCTGAATGTCTTGCGAAGTCCATAGCGCAATATTTCCCGATGCCCGAACTGGCACCGGTGATAATAACTACTTTATCAACGAAATCCATCGCCGCTGGATGCTAACCACTAACTGAATAATAAGCAAAGGATTAACTATTTATGAAGCGTTGTCCACAGACTAACCAATACACAGACCGTTCAAGGGCACATTTATTTTCTTATTTCATTATATCAAAAACTGTTTACAAGTAATTTCCTTCAATATCATTTTTTAATAACATAATTTAACAACATAATGAAAGAATACTGATTCTTTACATTATGATAATGACTACTGATAAATTACATTTCTCGGTAGATTCCACATAAATATTTGTTTTGTGCATTTTGTTATTTATTTGCTTTTATATAATTTATTGATGTTCTCTTTGTTTAACCTTTACTCTTTTATTATCTACGTAAATAGAATTCATAGAAATGCGACCTGTCTTTTAGTGAAACAGCCCGTATACAATTTATCTATAAGCCTCTATAGATTTTTTATTTTCATACCATCATAGTTTTCTATGTGTACTGTGGGCATTAAATGAAGGGCTGGAGATAAATTCATGGCTTGGAATCACAATTCAGTAATATTTAATTAACATCTGTTTATAGAAAATTTTACAATCGGATTGGCACAAATGACAAGGAAGTAACTTTTTATACTTAATTGTGATCTTATTTATAAATATAAAATTAATTATAATAAATAATATCTATATTGTACTGCTTATACAGGGTGACTGGTGAATTGCTATCGATACTTGAGGACGTGATATTTGACGATCATATATGACAAAATAAAAATTAATATACTCGTAACATAAATATTAATAAACTTCTAAGTAAAGTTAACCAAAAGTTATGTAATTAATTACGCATCGTGTGAACACCCTACAGATTAGGTATACACACACACACACACACGCGCGTGCGGCGGCGTGGTGTTGTATCAGCACGCCGCCGAACGCGTCCACACTTGGAACACTTGAAACGTGTCCACACTTTATTTATTTATACGGAAATTTGGTCAAAAATTAAGTACCTATTTTTTTTTACATAATTCGAATGAGAATCATGTACCGAGTATTGTCCTTAAATATTGATAGTAATTCACCAGTCACCCTGTATAATTTACTGTAAAAACAAACTTTATTTGTATTGGGAGTAGGTATACTAATAAAAAATATATTTTTTCATGAAAGTTATAAATGCAATGATAATTGTGATTAATTATTATTATTAGTGTTTGAGCTATAGGATTCTTTTTTCTTGCTAATAATAACAATCTTTTAAGTCATTTTCTGTTTAAAATACCATCATCATCACCATCATCATCAGCCTATCAGAGCCCACTGCTGAGCAAAGGCCTGTTTCACACATGGAGAAGGTTTGAGCATTAATCACCACGCTTGCTCAAGACGGGTTGGTGATTTCAAACTTATAATTGTGAAACTATAAGTCCAGGTTTCCTCACTATGTTTTCCTTCACCGTATGTCAGTGATGTCTAAATACTCTCAGAAAATCACATTGATACTTGCCAGGTTTGAACCCGCGCCCTCGGCAACGAGAGGCGGGCTCTTTAACCCCTAGGCCACCACCACCAGACACTAATATCATCTTTGTTAAAATTATTAAAAAAATCCTCTAAGTTGTGCATCATATTAATTATTTTTATATTTTTAATATTCTTTTTATTTAACCTTCATACTTATATCATAAATATATGATCGTTATATAGTAAGTACAAATTACTTAACTCCTTATCCTATCATACAGCGGCAAAAGTGTTGGATTATAAAAATAAGTAATTACCTGAACGCGTTCAGATTTAATCTTCATTGATATTTGTAAGGATTCTATTGGAGGTTTTAGAGCTCTTATGTATCTAGTACAGAATATTTGAAAACTTAAAGAAACCAAACAGATACGTGATATTTTTATCATTTTAAGTACTTTAAATTGTATTAATCACATTAATACTAAATAAATATTTCTAATCCCATAAATAATAGCGTATTTGATACATTAAAACGGTAACTTTTCATCAAATTTCATGAATTTTTTTGTAGTAAAAGATAAGAATTTTAAACAAAACCTAGGTTTTTGAATTTTCATATAAATTTTGACATTCTGTTAAAAAAGTTTATATAAGAAGTTGTAAATCTTTTTATTACCTACATTTTTTTCCATAGGACTTTTGATTTGCCGGAAATTGAAATAAACCGTTTTTTTACCCTTAAAAACTCCCCCCATTCCACTTCCCAACCTCAGGTCGACCGTTAATTATTTTTCCTCTCATGTCTATAATATTTTCCTCTTTTTAAAATGGGTTTCATCCTACTATATATTTTATTGGTCTCAATAATTATCGACCCTGGTCTATAAGAACATATTATTATTTAGGAATACTTATATACATTGTAATTATCTACATTATTAAAGAATCTGAGATAAAGTAGTATATTGTAATTTAATAAGAATAAAGGATAAGTATGGAATTAATAACTATTACTTACCTACTCAAAAATATAGCGAAGTCTGTTAAAAAACTTCAAAAAGTCATATAAGCAGGAATATTTATCAAAATTTAGTTAACTCATTTAACGGTACATTTGAAGTGATTCTTCAGTTTTGTATTCATATATATTAGTGTCACGAACATATGTACGTAGAATAAATAGCTTGCTAGTATTAAGAACATCGCCAATAATATGTTATGATCTTAGTAATTTACATATACTTTTTAGTAATTTACATATACTTTTTACATTCATTTTATGTTCTACCCATTATTATTATCGTCTTTAGTTAGGTAAAAGTGGAACATATTAGATATGACGTCATAATTCTGTAAAATGGAGGAGAAACTTAGTCATACGTACATATTTTTTTTAAACATATCTCTGTTTTTATTACTCATTTTAATGTCCTTTTGTTTTTTTTTTGTGTTCATCCTTCTAGTCTAGTTTAGTCTAGTAAAATTGAAGTATGTTTCATAATTCATATAACACTTTTGGAGATTGAAACATTTTTCTTCGTAACTCATTTTGTAAATGTGATTAGTTAGTTGTATTCTTTTACCTATTTTCCAATGATTGCTGATAATAATAATTTTAAGTCAGTCTTCTGATTGTTTTTATGCCAGTAAAGTAGCATTTAGCACAAACCCATTTGGTAGTAAAAGGCTGTCCGATTGAAATATGTAAATGGATATCCGTTACAGTTATTGTATAGTGAAAGCAAGTATCATGGAACTGTATCGTACATCAGCAAAACTCAGGTTTTTGGAACCACATAATGCTTTGTATTCAAATAACTTTCAACATTTAACTTTCCCCCTCCCCCCAAATCCTAATAAATACTACTTCACACTATTTTTAAATTATAACAATATTATTCCTTTACTATTCTTATACATTCATTGAATAAAAGAATTGTATGTAAAATACAGATATCTTCAAAGCTCCTCTTATCACCGGCGAGCCGTACACAGAAGACCAATCCACTGATTGCTGATTCAAGAGATAGGTGAGGGTGAAACATATAAATAAAATAAAGAATTATATTAATACTGTTTATTGAATCATATGACAATAAAAAGCGTTCATTTTATACAATTAGTTATATACTTAAAACAATGTTTGAGATCTATAAAAGCTCCCCTAGTTTTGGCACTTGCTTTTATACTTACTTAATGTATGACTTGAGCGTATTAATAATATGTGAGTAAAGGAAATTATATTACAATAGAAAAACAGAAAAAAAATCTCTTATACATAAAACATTTCTAACAGAGTCAAATAATAACGAATTATTTACAATACATAAATTAATTGCATTATACATAATTATTTTAATAAAAATAATATTCGAAAAAAAAGTATTTTAGATTTAATTGTCATTTAATATCGAATACAAAATCATTCAACAATTACGTATTTATAAATCTTTATTTATAATAATTTAATTAATCAACATAAGATAATAAATAAATCAACAAAATTAAATAAATTATGTAAATTATATAAAAATTATAATTTACCGAATCCTGTTTCAATGTCACGTCTCGCTGTCAAGTGTCATTTTTATTTTAATGACAGATGACGGAAGCCATTATCTTTTTTTTCGACGTGACAACGAGAATCGATGATTTAATATTTCACAACCAATTTCTATGAATACGACTAGAAAAGCAATCTACTTTATGTCTAAATTAGTTATAAATATGAGTATCTTTTTACCTAACGGACGCGATAATACTTAATGTTTGAGGAAACCTCAAATCTTTATGTTAATGACAGAACGTTTTCATATATCGTACAAGCTAAATTCTAGAGTGGGTAAAATTTATTCAGTTACAGTTACTAAGGAATGTAATTTAAATTGTTTATCGAATTATAAAAATGATTTTAATAATATCATACGACGCTTAAACTAAACGTAGCTCAGACCTCAGCTTTGTATAAAATATTGGAGGGAAATGCGATATTGGACGTTTAATCTTTCTTAAATAAGTCGATTTGTAGTCATTTACTACAAATGTGGACGACTTATATCCTTATACGATACAAATGAATTAAGATTTCAATTTGATCTAATGTTTTTTTTTTAATATTAATTTAAAGAAAGTTGTTTATTAGGATGATATCAACCTCTTTGGAAAATACTTTTTTAATAATTAATAATGTTCAAAAATATAATCTGTTGATTATATATCAAGCTGATGAAATTTTGATTAATTCTGTATGATTTACGAACAATTTATATATATTTGTATTATACGTGCAGTCAATGAATTATGATAAAATTACCGAAACGTTATGAAGCCACAGCCAATTCAGAATGAACCTCGATCCGCTTATGTATTGTACTAACGAGCGGTTCATATTATATACACACTCAATACTTTATTAATTACCAGGTACCACCGACTCTAGAACTCTTACTATCGAGGTGTTTCGATTGTCACAGAAACCTTAGCAGATATAGAAAATGAATTTTATGGCTAATCTTATCAGTTATAAAAAAATATGTCGCGTATCTATCACAAGTACATGACTAGAAGCCCTACTTAATAATAATTATATAAATGTAAATTTATTCTACTACAGTAACTTAATATAGCATCAGGAGTGACTACAGAATACAGATTCACTGCCAGTTTCTAAGCATCACAATATCGCTTTGCAATATACTTAACTTACTTCATATAAATCAAAAGATTTCTTGAATACTTACTTTCAAGATGACATTAGTAGTGAAATGAAGAATTCATTATGCCTTAATGACGGACTATTAGCATAATAAATATTGGCAATACTTAAGCATTATTGCACATACTAAATACTTAAGGTCAAAGTCCACAAGAATTGCATCGGAATATATTCTATGACTTAAGCTTTTTTTGGCTTTATTAATATTTTAGTCTATATATTCTTTGGTATTGTGGTTAGATTTTTAATCTGTGAAAATATTTATTAGTTTATAATCTATGTTATTTCATTTTGGTGTAACAGTTTTTAATCTGTTAATTGCTCGGTTAAATTTATTCTGTAAACCAAGAATTGTTTATATTTGGTTTCGAGTGTTTACTTGTGTATTGAATTTATTTATGTATGTATAAAAATTTCACTTTATAATTTGTTCATTGAATTTTTTTAATCTATGAAATGTTTTATTTAAATTTATTTTATACTCTGTGCATTCTTTATTATTTGTTAATGTTTTTTTAATCTGTGTAATGTTTTATTTAAATTTATTTTATAATCTATGCGTTCTTTAGGTGATGGGACTCGTGGTCGCAGCGTCGTAGTACAGCGAAGTGAGTTACTTGGAAGCTGTTGTTTGACCGACTGCCTCTCTCCAAGGTACCGGTCATCGTATAACCCATGTTGAAATCCGCTTGGGTCACGTTCGTTGTCAAATATAACTGTATGATTAAAATAAAATAATATATTATTTATCAAAAACCGTAAAATAAAACAAATAGTACATCACTAGTGAATATTACTATAGAATTCTATAAGACACTTGAAATTAATTTTAAAGGTACAGCTTGAAAGGAAGACTATAATTTCCTGTCGCCAGAGTTACCCTCCATCCAATTCAACATTTTACATTTTGCAACGTATCTTATTTTTATACTAAAATAAATATTATGTTCTTGATTTGACGTACAATACATTGATTTTCTTAGTAATTTCTAAAACTATCTTCATCTCTATATATATAGAATAACAATAATATTTATGATAAATAAACATCACGAGTACTTTAACATAAAACAAAATATACGTTTGAATATTCATAAACTTAAACAGAAGCAATTGAGAGATACGAAAACTAGGCTCCTTATAGAATATGTATGGTAAAAGTAATATTTCTTTTCGTATGTATAAATATTAATATGAATTAATATGGTATACCTTGAAGTCAGCATCTGCTGCAAGATGTTTGAAAGTGCCCACGATGTATACGGCGTTTATACCACTCACCACCATACGAGCGTGTGTACTGTGCCTAAATAAAAAGAATTATATTGATTAGGTTACATACAAGAACTTAAAAAATTGACTTTAAGAAGTTCTTTAAAATAATGCTAGCGTAATATTCGAATTGAGAAGATGAGAGAGATTTAAAAATTGAAGTTTCCCAGACAAGATATTGTGTTAAAAAATCAATAGTTTTTATTTTGGGAGATAACTTTCTTGTTTATAAAGAAAAACGATTTATATATATTTCATAGAAATATAACATTTATATTGTATATATTGTCATACATTGTCTTGTGCAAATTTTATTCATTGAAGGCATAGAAATAAAAGTAGGTATCTCTCAAAGGATGAGGTTCAATGCAGTGTACATTAGAGTATCTTAATTACTATGCTTGGATCCGTTACAAATACATTCTGATGCGTGGCACGTACACTGTTAGTAGGGCAGAACAAACACGTACGTTACCTTAACAGCCAGTGTAATGACTGATAGTTACTTAATGGCTGAATCATCTCTACTGACTAAAACCACAATTCTCTCTATCTTCTTCTTCTACCTGGCAATTTCCCAGCTATAGCCAGGGTCTGCCTTACATGTTATGAATAGTTTTTGGCTAATTGTTTCACAACCGGCAACCTGCCTAACATCAACTCTCTTTTAGGAATCAGCATTAATCAGTGATGTCTAAATAATCTTAGAAAGTACATATGATTCGGAAAAATCACATTTGTACTTGCCCGGGATCGAACCCGCGCCCTCGAGCATGAGAGGCGGACCTTTTAACCACTAGGCCACCATTAGAAACATCATTCGCAAGAAAATATATGAAAAAATCTTTACTTCCAAACTATCTTAAGTGGTTACTGCGACTCGTTTACAAAATTCGGGTTGAAAATGGTTCTGTGGAATTAGGTAGCATTGCAGGTGGCGTTGCGTTAGTCTAACGAGTTAGCACGGAAAAACCTTTCCAGCGTATAAAGACGAAATAAGCAATAAAGGTTGCACAACCAACTACCGCTGAGAACTTTATTCTATCTGAATTTCTTACAAGACTGCATTGTAGCAAATTGAAATATTATTGAAGACGTAGTTCAGGATATATGAATTTGAAACAAATATTCTCTTTGATATCAGTACACAATAGCTCATATACATTCCTTTGTGGCTCAAACTCCGTCTAAATTGTATACATCAGATATTTTACGAACGAATTTGAGCAAAATTTAATAAATTAAACGTCTAAACAAACTATTAAGGTAATAAATATATGATTCCGTAATAAATAAAATCACTTAAACCTTTAACGGGTACGAGAAATCGCATTTCTATAAATTTGGCCAACTATAAAGAGATCTTTAGGGTGGTTTTATCATGAAATACGTGTCGTTTAGGCAAAATAGTCGAGCAGCAATAATCGTTAACGCTAACAGCCTTTAATTCTCTAACGTACAAGCCTTCAACATTTTTCATACAATTTTAAAACTGAAAATTGGTTTTTTTAATTTAATTTCGCACTTTGAAATTACATATTTTTTTTTAAAATAAAACTGATATTTTCGCGTTTTTTATTATTTTAAACTACATACTCCCGGCCTTTCGATTACTTTGCAGCTACCGTGATCACGGGCAGACGAGATGAAAAAAAAAATTCCTTGTCTATAATTCTGTCTTATAATTTATAACTTTGTATATAAGTAGGAAAACTGACTTGTTTCAAAGGATAGCTTTAAATAATTTGAACACATTACATACGCGATCTAAAAATTTAAAGCAAGGAAAAAATATATAAATAAAAAAGATTTACAACAAGAAAAAATTTAAATCTCATTTCCTATAAATAAATAAACATATTTAGGTTAATATTAAAGTTAATATATTTCGATAACAAAGATGGTGTCCAATAAATCGTAGGTATCTTATTCCAACTAAGCCCTTTGCGTTACCGCCATCTTTATTTGCGGCACGTTCCCGCTACTTCTCAACATATATATTATGGAAACAAAAGATTTCTACCTACACTATATATCACATGAAAGATTTTAAGGATTTTATTTGTTATATTTTTATATTTTCGTTTTGTTTGAAAATAAAATATTTGCTTTCATTTTCAACAAATTACTATTAAACAAAGAAACTCATTGACATAATGTTATATTTATAATCTATGTATATATTTTCTACTGTCATCTATGTCAAACTATATCTATAACTATATCTACAATAGTTGTATGTGTGGTTCCGTAAGTAACGTACGATTGTTGCTCTCTACCACCCCGGGCCGTTTGTCAAAGCAGCACTTACCTAGCTGAGGGTTAATTACGTAAAGCACGTTCTATGTGGGACAAAGTGATAAACTGCTTCCTTACCCGGGAACGGGAACATTAAATTTTATTTTTAATTCTATTTTCAGTTATTTACCGCTCCCTTGGCCGAACAATATTTTCTTATAAATTCGTTTTATTAGCGTTAAATTACGGTTAATTAAGAACGGCGTTAGAGAAATCTTTTAACGTTAAATCGGTTAAACTGGTAGAGAGAATGTTTTCGTAAAACGCAGAGCATTTAATTCGTTTTTATTTACGTAAAAACATAAGAAAATTAACTAAAGAAACCGTAAGGCGTAAGTACCAATTATAAAAAGTGGATCGTAAGTGTACTTAGATATTTAATATCCTATATGAAATTTTCACCTTCTAGTGCCAGCTACTTCAATAACCTTACACCTGGAACGTCGCCACCAGCACGGCTGTAATGTCCAATATGATGAAGAAGCACTCCTCGCCCAACCCTCTTCAGGGAACATCAACACCTGCAGATAATACATTAATAAGAACTTTTATTGCATTATTAATGAGAGTAGAACAATAACTAACAAAGGTTGCAAATCAAACAAAATACATTTATAATTCAATTCTGTAGTATAGGAAATGTTAAAGGTATAAAATCCGTACCAAGTATTAGTTTTTTGTTTGGAAATAATTAACTTTAGATTGCTTTTAATATGTTACGTATTTTTATTGTTCGATAGAATGATTAATGAATTATCAATAAGTAATACGAAGTTCGATTAAGATAAAATATAAGTATTGTAGTTATATTATTTTATTGAATCAATTTGTTATTAGTTATGAATAATCAATTTATCTTTTCGTCAGTCTTTAAATTACATTAATAAAAACTTAAATATTAGTCAAATAATACTGTATATACTAGATAAGTAAGGACAAAAAATAATATATTCAAATATAACTACATAATATCTCAAATATTGATTTTAAATAACCCGTTACCGATGATAATTATATCAGTATTGTAAGTTTAAGGAAATCTTCCATTTAGCCCTGCGGCTCCAACTTCGTGAATCATTGAGTGAATTTTCTAAATTAGAAAACTTTACAAGCCTTTCGAAGGCGGTTGAAAAATAGCTTTTTGACTAAAACTAATATTGCCGACCAGAAACAAAACAGCGGAGTTGGTAACGAAGTTGTTTCCGACGCTCCGGTTCACCTCGGGCGATGGGAGTCTGAAGCGCTCGTTTGCTCAGAGACTGAGTATTTACATCGTACTAACTTATAACCAAAACCTGTAAGAATATTGGCTGGTAGGAGTGCTACGCTCGATTGGTTCCAAGCATTCCGTTCTCATTTTCTCGACGCGTCTAGTGATATATTTTTTTTTCTCTCGACGAGTTTTCCTGCTTTCGACAATATTGCGTCAGTTTCAAAGAGGCGCACTCGTGGGGGGATGAAATCGGTTTCACGTCGACTGAGCACACTAATGATTGGGTTCCGGACGCGGGACGTCTCGAGCGGGGACCGTGTACGGAACCCAGCGACCCTTTGACGAACCTAACTATTGTTTAATGGTCTTAAAAGCATTTCAATGTTAGGGAATTTGAAATGCAAAACGGTAAAGCGAAACTTTTTCAAAGGTTCAGCTCGTAACAAGTGATACTCTGTGCATGTTGTGCGAAGTTTGTAAGTTAATTTGGAAGGCGTGCCTCTTGAATAGTTATTACAGCTAACTTATTCCAAGTACTGCAACTTTAACAATCATATGTATATAGTTTACTCTTTAAACTTAATAATATTAATACTCTGTAATGGGTTTCCTCGTATTGATAATGTTTATGAGTTAATAAATTAGTTGAATATCAAAGCAAGTTAAGAAAATATTACATAAATGTATAAATATTTAATTTATTTTCTTTAAATGGTAAATAGAAATTATCACAAAGACATCAGATTCGTGTATATGTCTCTATTTTTATAATAAGTGAAGTAATTTATTTTGAAATTATCTAATAGTAAGTGAAACAAATGAAACGGCAATTGTTAGTAATGATAACCCGACAAATATAAAAACTATTTTCTTATTTTAATTCAATTAATAACGAATTTCTGAGTATACTACTGAAGCCTTCATGTTCATAGAATTGACTTTATGACTATTGAAAATTCAAAGGAGCAATAGTTTGTCTTGAAAGAGAAGCATCGCTTATATAGATAAACTTAGCTGCACCGACTCTCTTTGGTAACAATTCATAAGTCACGTACGAATAATAATTAATAAATATATATTACACATTTATATCTTACTCCGAACTTTGAACATATCTAATACTTAAAGTTAGATCATGCATATAATAAAATACAACAAATTTTAAACTTCACAATATAACATCGTATGCATTGAAAATTGAGCAAAAATTTCCAACCACAAAAGGAGCATGTCAAAATTCAATAAAAATTGGACGACAAAAATTGTAAATAGAATATAATGAGAGTCGAACGGCAAGCAGACAGACCACTCGAAGTCACAGCGTTAAAATTCAAAAACACTCGTGGTAGCAGTCACTTTCACGGACCCATCGCGAGGCTGAATGAGAGTCCAATTACGAATTCCTGTAAACTTGTCAATCAATTAATTTCACAGCGGAATTCGAGTGACGTATAGACCGTTCTGTTATAAACTCGTTCTGAAGAATCGAGTTATATCAGAACAATAATATTCTTTTCTCATATTTATTCCAGGTTTTCCTTAGTCTATGTGAGGGGAATGTAGAATTTAAACGGTTTATGTAAACTAACAAGTCCAATTCGTTGGTGTCTAGTCGAGTGTCCTTATATAACATTTAAAATCGTATGAAGGACGTAGATAGTCACGCTCAGGTTCTCAACGGCACTTCACTCTTGGCGCCCGGGTCTAACTTAATTTGGATATTACAATTTATAGAACGGACAAATTTATTCAGAGCTTTCCTAACTTTAAACTCTACTTAAGTAAACAGCGTTCTTATAGTTGGATGCATGACGAATCCTTAAAAAAAGTTTTTTTGCAAAAAAAATCAAAATTGTTATTTAAACGTTTCGTCGGTTGAAAAACTAATTGAAGTCAATTTTATGAAAAAAAATCAATTCTGTCAGTAATTTTGTTATTAATTTTTTTGTTACTAATCGTATCTTTACAGTCTGCCACTTCCAATATGATGAAGTAATTCCATGGTAATGCAGTTTCGAGGCTGGAGCGCTCGTAATTGGATTATGGATTTCGTCTGGACTATGAATACGACGTGAGGATTATCTACCGCTTAAGGGATTCCCAATGTCATGACGTTGAATATGAATATAGCAAAAATTCTTTACTCAGAATTTCACTAGCATTTACAAAGGCTTAGTGTCGACCTAGATTTGACATCCTGACTCTAAACTATAGCTAAATATCTCTTGTTTAAGTAATATAGTTCTATAAACGATGGGTTAATGAAAGTAATAAATCAAACAATAATATTATGATAAAATCGTTCATCCCTAATGGCCTTTATAATAAATTTTCTCTCTGGTTTGCACAAGATTAAGAGCTTTAATGCTTTATATTATACCCAAAGTATTTCATAAAAGTATGGTCGTCCCCATGGAATGCATTTGGTCCTTTCGATCTCGACCGACCTCGGAGGAGGGCGATTTGCGAAGGTTTTATCACACTTTATATGGGAATATTGTTTGTTCGATTAAGACTGTTTGCTTTAGGACTTGGCTTGTAAAAAATATTTACGACATTGACGAATACGTGACGCGATTATTGTACTAATATCACTTGCTACAAAACTTTCATTGATTCCTTACAATTCCATTATGTATTCGTTTAATAAATATAAAAATATATATTGTATTTTATAAACAACACAACTTATTGCTTTCATACAATTTTATTCAATATTTTTATAACACAGTAAAAAACTTCCAACAAACAATATTTAGACGGGCTGTGTTTCTAATATATCAGAGCGGTTTCCATCAAAATCTCTTACGATCAATCTTGATACAAGTATCTGACCCTGATAAACCCGATGTCGTAATATTGTTGTTGACTTTTGCTTTTTATTATATCCATTCCATTTATAGGTTTACGTATTCAATTCACTCGATACATCGCTGTGAAGTCGATTATACAAATTACGATAACAAGCTCGGTCGTCGGAATACATCCGCATACATCGACTGGTGTTAAAATTTAATTAACCCGGGCGAGTGCTCGTGAGCCCATACAGTGTAGCTCACTTCATTGAGTTTCATTAGCGAGTGCAAGCTCTTAGCCCGCACCTTGATTACTAGACCTGTAAATACAACTTAAACTGTTTGAATTTCCGCTAAACTTGAATTGCATTCGATCCGTTAACGAGATTTCATTCATATGTCTTTATTGAGATAAATGTATTTCGATTTTATAGAATTAGAGTATAAAATATAATTAAGCTCTCTACGTATTTAGTACAGGTTTTATGTTGACGTATAGAATAGAATTGTTTTTTGTATAAAGCGTAGAGGTATCGTTGAAATTATAACAACATGAAGTTTGAGTGTCGTTTTTTTTTCCAAAGTTGTGTAACGATCGCCCGCAGCGAGCCGGTAGCTGAACTAAACTGCCAATTTGTAGTTTGATGACGCGACAAAGGGTCGCATCCGCGGACGCTCCGGCCGCTCGACTCAATGCTGTATCCACTAGCAATTTGCTCACAAAGAACGTATCTATTCATTTCAATGTATATTTTGTCTATGATAGCTGTGGGGTTTTCTGAACACATATCCGCAGACAATTTGTCGGACAGATGAGGATATCTCTGATTTGATGTGGGTATTACGACAGCTTTTCTATTATTCATTTTTCAACAGAATTTGGAAGATTTTGACCCTACATCTATCAGGGAGGATAAATCATTGTATTCTCTTCACTATGTTACAAAGGAGTGTGTAATATTTTTATCCTTTTTTTAGTAACTTACATATTATATACTTTTGACATGTCGTGCCTGCGAAGTTATATTTAGAGATATTGCTAACTATTTTATAAATGTAAAATATTATAAGTCTGTTTGTCTCTTACTCATTCAATAACTACTAAAATGATTGTATATTGTCGTTTAACTTAGGTAGAATAATACAGGCTACTTATTCAATAATCCTAAACTGGCGCCAGTAGATATAAAAACTTCAGAAATAGGGAGAAGTCTAGTTTCAAATATTATTAATCAAGTAAAACATGTTGTCGAGTAATGTTAATAAAAGTAGAAAATTAATTTGTACGCGGCATTGTACGCTACAGCTGTTCTTTAGCATAAAACTTTAGTCGTATGTTACCGGTATAGCTTGGAAATTAAAACTCTTAAAGTTTTAAGATGAGGTAATGAGATTAGCAACGTATTTAGCGATGTATTGGAACAACAAATTAATTTTGGGCAACCGGAACTTTCATTCCAGAGCGGAATAAGTGGGGGGTATAATTAAATTGTGGTTCTATTTCGATTGAGTA